CAGTAGCCCTAGAGTTCAGCCCTTTTTCTGACCACATCTGCACATAAACAAGAAAAAGGAAAAGATAACATAGTACTATAATACTAAATACTATATTGTTCTATGCTATTTATGTTTTATGCAATGGCCTTGGAACAAATGGGCATTTTTCACAAAGGTTATTTAGTTGTTACTCAGTAGTTTGACAATTCATTCCACCCCTCCCCCCGATTTAAAGCCAGTGTAATGCATGAATTACAAAGGATAATGCTCATCATCTTCTAGAATACCTGGGGTAAGGGTACTTAAAAACACCATTCCCAAGGTGCCATCATGTGTTTATTAAGGCCTGCAGAACGGGAAGCAAATGTGAGCACTGAATTACTGTTCTGCCAAACCAATTAACAGAAATGCATAACATAACATACATACACATAGCTTTGTAGAGTTATAATCAAATAACTCCAACAGTACCCAAGAGCAATATTGAATTGTTTAATATGGCTACAAATATTCCTTAAAAATGTTTGCCTTAACCATTTCAATATGAATGAGTGTGCAATTAAACTATAAAGAAATAGAACATACAAAATTGAAACTTGTTATTCAAGCATTTTAGCTAAACTGCCATTCAATAGTAATTAGCCAGGAAAGTTCTAGCAGGTACATTCTACCACAAATGTTAACGTCCCAAGTACTGTGCTGACACAGAAATGAACAAAAAACACATCCCGTCCCCATTTACTATTGGAAATACCACATTTCAAACAGAAAGTTGATTGGACCAGAAAGAAGGTGACATTTAGGTTTACATCAGCACCTCTTTAAAAACCAAACAACTATAAGGATCCATTTGAGTAACACTGCTTAATTATTCATTCTTCTTCGTCAAAAAAGAATTGTACAATTCTCAAATGTTTTAGCAGAGTTCCAGTATTCTGAGGGTGTTGGGTGAGAAAAATGTGAATGGAGTGGGGAATATTTTTAGACTTGATTTTATTATTTAGGAAAATAAGAAGTTCACCAAAAAAGGTGTTTCAGCAATTCTGGGCAACCTGATCATCTCCACCAGCTTTAATTGATCACAATTGTATTTCCTGGTATGCATCCATCATCAGAAAGACATTTATTCCTAGTGAGGGAGACAGCAATGTGAAATCTGTTTCAGAGTGGAAGGTGGGATTACACCCTGGACAAGAAGCCAGTCCATTAGGAGGGCACAACATACACACAAAATGGGAACACTCAAAAGACACCGATTAACCAATCCAGTATGTCTTTGAGAGGTGGAAAGAGTCCAGAGCATCAGAGAAATCCAAGTAAACACAGGGATAAAATACAAGCTCCATACACATGGTGCCCTGGGCAAAAACCTAACACAGGTCCTACAAGCTGTTAGGCAGCAGAGCTATTAACCATTCCACTCCTGGTAACCAAGGAGAACAAATTCACAAAGCATGTAGGTTCATCATTCTGTAGCCTGTGGTAAAATAATGGTATTCTGCCTGGGGAAGCAATCGGATAAAGTAAGGTAATCAATTGTCAAACGCATCTGAATTCCCTTCAACCATGCCCAAACCAGAAATTAGTTTGATATGTTTGGGGATGTGGGTAATTTACTTTGATCTTATTTACTTTATGGTGCTATTCCCGATTATCACGGACAGCTTTAGAAAGTCAAGGTTCGGCCCACTTAGAAGACTTCTTCAATTGTCTTTGAGCTGAGGAAAACAATGCAGTTGCTACAGATGAAACGTGCAACTGTCACCTAGTCTAACAAAAAGCTTTTCCTAGACTTGTACAAAAGAGTTCCTTCTACAACGATGAGATTGCCATAACCGTGACTACAGTTGCAACTTGTCATGGAACCAAACATCTTAAAATGAGAATAAATTAAAACAGTGAACTCTAGAGCTACAATGACTTCTGACCAAATTCTTACAGTTTGAGTTAACACATTAATTGATTTTGGAGTGAGAGAAACAAAACTAACACCAATTTCCACAACTGTACAAAAACAGATTGTGAGAACAGTACGTTCACATTTTCATAGCGGTTTCGCAATCCTGCAAAGTCATCGCAAAAAGCCTCAAAGATTGTCTAAAATTCTCAGTGAGCCTGACAGTCAAGGTTGCATTTCATAAAAATAAGAAAAACTGACTTTAAAAGTAGTTTATTCACTTCCTCTAGAGATAACAGTGATGGTGTTTGCCCTGGTCAGGAAAAACCACATAAATATGTAAATTTTCTAATGAATTAATGTTCACACTCAACAGTCACAGACCAGACAAATCACAGTTTTCTTTTTAGTGAAATTAATATTCTCAATACAGCTTTTATGAAAATAGGTTATTCTTGGTTGTTTCAGCAAGGTTGAAAGGTACAAATGAATCATTTTCTACTAAAGCAAGTGAGTAAACTCTTAACCGTTGCTCCAATTTCAATTTGATTTTTTTTAAAAGAGAAACATTTATGATTAAAGTCCCAAGATCAAGTCAAGACTTAAAATCAAGCTACAATTTAAATATGGCGATTGACTAATTGCCAATAAAACAACTCCAAAGCCAATTCAGCTATAACAGATTTAAAGCAATGTGAACAGCTGAAATTTAAAATTAAAATACTGAAATTTAGCATCCATCCAAAGAAAACAGTGGAAAAACAAGTTTCAGTAAAATGTGAGTATTGTTGAAATTACGATTCTGTGTTCCGATTTGCCTTTTGTTGTGAATTGGTCAGAGACAGCACAGCTGTGGAAGTGGCATGAGGCAACTTTCCTTTACCATCATTTTGAAATGTTTGAGAACATTTAGAGTTAAATCAAACTATTCTAGAGCTGGTGACAAAGGGAAATCTATAAAAAGATGCAGCTCACACTTTGCTTGCCTAATGACAAGGAAAAAGTGGCGGTTTACACAGCTGAACTTGGCCACAACTGCAGCTGCAGGTAAACCACACTACAAAAGGACCTATCCCAAAGTCTGAGGGGCTGTGCTACAGGTCTCCGCAAGTACAGAAAATGCTCGCAAACTTCTCCAAAAGGCAAAATTGCTTCTAATGAATTTGAAAATTAAAATGCACTGCAACTTCTGATTAAGGTCAATGGATATTTGGAAAGCTCCTTCAGGGGGCCCTTTGCCAATTGCTTTTTAAAGCCTGTAAATGTAACAAAAACACAGATTTCAACATTAACAGTTGCAACTTTCAGGAGTTTTATATGATGGGTTTGACTTATGAAGCAACCCCTTTAACAAAGTGATAGTGTGATACAGTCTTTGTAAAACATAATTTAAAGTGGGCACACCTTTAACTCCCCACTGCTATTCCACATTTTAAAACTCTTGGCTATTTAATTATTTGAATCCACTTTCAATGCCCTGAAAATATTTCCAATCAAAAAGATTAAGACAAGGAAGGCTCCCACCAACCGCACTCTAGAACTTGGACTGAACATGTTTTACAAGTAGCAGGAAATTCAAAATACAATACAGCACGGTCAATTACACATTCTGGTTTGAAGTGACTTAAGAAAAGAAACCTGTCCACTCCTCATTTCTAAACAGATAAATGAATCTTTACAAAAGGTTCCTAAAGCAGACGCTCGCTACCATCTTTTACAAGATGGGCCCAATTTTCAGTATCCCCCTGTTGTGCCAACCTTGTGCATGGAGTACTGGTATTTAAATGACTACATGTCATCCACACATGAGTAATCACGGAATTGCAATGTTAGTTGTGAAACTCTATTAACCAGGCTGGAGATGTCAAAATGATACCAAATAGTGGTTCTGTGGACAGACTTTTTAAATACCATTATGATACCCTAGGATTTAAAGGACACTCCTGTGAGGTGTCTGCTTTCAGACAACACTTTAAAGAGTCCCAAGATTTCTACTCCATGTACTTCAGGTAGACATTTCAGAAATGCTTTGGCAGAAAATAGGCTATCAAAACCCAGTCATTTCAGGAGTTTTTAACCGGTTGCCCTCTGCTTGAGTCTGATCTGATTACCCACCGAATTTATTCGAAACAGAGCATTTTCATGAACTTGCCACAGAAATTTCACAGAAATCATCAACCTATTTAATTCCTAGACAACTCCTATATAAGCATAGAACAAAGCTCCTAGACAACGAGCTAAAATATGTCAAATTATATTTTCAATAGAAGAAAAAAAACATAAAATAAAAGTTGGATCTCTCACAGGGTGTTCGACTCCTCACTTCAATCGGTTTGCCTTGTGTTAAAAGAGGACATAGCCAACAGCATCCGTCATTTGGATAATCGTTTCTGACCCCAAGGTTTTTCCTAGCATTTCCACTCTCCTTTAGCATTTCTACACCTCAGTTCTTGAACACATAAAGTATGAATTACAAGTTGAGCATTTTACCTGTCCAAGAAAATGAGTCCACAAGTGATTTTCCCACCTCAGTAAAACTCAAAATCATAGCACAACCGTGCACCTAGGCATTTTTCTTCACCATCTTTCAAAATCTTCAACACTTCACGCTGGAACTTTCTTTTGTCCCTATTTTAAATCGTGTGGCGTCATCTACACCCCCACCTCCTTTTCCCACCCCCAAACTTTCTAACCATGAAGGGGTTAATGGTGGACCGTGGGTTCCATGAACATTCCAGTCTAATGAAAAATTTGGTTCACATGCAGAATAGCACCTACGCTTTTTTTCAAAAATACATATTATCTTGAATGACCGCATTTCCACATGTGAGGGGTACAATCACGGCGCGTCCCCTCGACCCTTTGATTCCCCACTAAGCTGCACTTTTCAATAAAAAAAATGACCCCGGTGTATAACTGCAGGGCCCGGCGTCGCCATACACACACAGCACCACCACACAGACACACACAACAACACGAACAGCATGCACATACCACCAAGAGAAAAAAGCTACAAAGAAAAAAAATACACAAGGATATGTTATGATAACCGACTACAGTGGACGAGCAATAACCTTTGCAAAATTCCCAGTTCGATTTTTTTCAAGTTTAAGCAACTGACCTGTTTCTGGGCAGAACAGTCCGCAGGATCTTGGGTTGAATCCGAGTTAAATCCACTTTCAGTAAAACAAAGAGGCGAAAATGTCCGGGCAATCCCGAAACAAACCGAGCGGGTACTCCGTGTTTGCTCCCGAGCATGCGCGGATGAAATGGTTGAGGGGGTTGTGAACAGTGAGCGGAGAGGTGGAAGCAAACAGGTTACCTAGTAGAAACAGTGGGGGAACAGCTGTGTTGCACTGCAATCACTTCTAACAGTGCTGTAAGAAGTAATTGCAGACTTCGAGAATTCTGAAAAATATATTTTAACACAGCCTAAAGTCTGTTTTGTTTTAGAGAACGAAAGGCACATGCCGCTATATGCATAAGATGATTCTGAAGTTGCCGAATTCTGGTACTGCCTTTGCAAACGAAACGAAGATTCAATAATTCTTTGAAAGATATCAATGTACTCTTATAAATTAGCTCACTTAATACAATTATTTTGACCTATAAAGTCAGGGCACTATGTAGTACATTCCACAGTTGTGCTTATTTTAAGAATGTTCACATATCCGTATATTGTCTTAAAACGTTATATAACGACCGTTACTCGCTTGCTAGTTATACAATTGGATATTGAGAAAAGAAAAGCAGAATACAAACAGAAAAACACCTAAACGTTGAAAACAGCTGAATCAGGCCAGCATGACCACAGGTATGAATGCATGTTTAAGCAGGTTCTTCTGCCCATGCCTACTATCTCGACATAATCTGAGAAAGTGTGACTCACCAGAATTGTATACCAAAGACTCACACCTGTACTGAAGATATTGAGAAGAAATCAGACTACTATGGAGATTTAAACTCCATGTCTAATGTAAAAGCACAAGTGGGAAAGGATAGGATAGTTGTCCAGGTGCTGTCTGAGTGCTGGAGTGAAAGTCCAGGAAGGACAGGATGTCTGAGCTAAGAGTGTGTGATGCTGAATGCTTAGAGGAAGAAGGGTCAGTGGTTGAGTTCTAAAGCACTGGTGCGCTACACCACTGTGCCATGACAGTCAGTAGTCAGGGTGCTCTGTGAAGTATTAAATTACATGTTTAATGTGCACTCATGGCACCGTAAACAGCAGTTTTGTCTGTTTCAACAGCTTCTTATATATGTTTGAAATCTTACCAGCTGAGAATGCTTGGCAGGTCCCTTATCATTTTCCATGCCAATTCACTGTGTGTATGTAATTCCCTGGGTACTGCAAATTTCCTCCCTCCTACAAAGGTATACTGACAACATTTCATTGATGATTCTAAGTTGTTCCTTTCTTCATGGCCCTGCAGAAGACTGGTGTACCAGAGGTAGGTTGTCACTTATTTTCTGCCCTGTTTGCTCTCTATGCTTTCAAGGTGAGCTCCAGGGTGCTGCAACACTCACCATTTCTAAATAAAAAAAATCCTCAAAAATGACCATGTTATTGTAACGCATACGGCCGACAGGCACTGTGTAAGAGCCGGCGTACCAGAGCAGGTGACGTCACCGCCCTTCCCTGTGATAGCAGGACTACAGCTACTGGGCTCTAGAGAGATCTCTCTTTGGCTCACCGGGCTGGGTCGCTGCAGAGAGACGCGGGAGTCCCGGGTTCAAGCCTCAGTTGGGATGGGGCCGACCTAATGCGGCAAGGGTGCCCTCCTGAGCCCCTGTTGCGTTACATTATTATCACCTGATTTAAGCAACTCAACCACCTCACTACTACAAATTCTATCATGCCTTCTGTGTTCAACACTAGTTAAAGACGTAAACTATTTCTGTTTGTTGTTCTAACTGGCAGATAAAAAAACAAGTTAAAAAACAATCATTTACTATTTGCAATACCACTTGTTCACATTTTCCCCTATAAGTCAACAGATGTGTAGTCAAGATATCCTTCTGAGCTGTTATTGTTGAAGTTTAAATAGCAATGCTAAAACAACTCTTCTTCTGACAGCCTGTTTCCCAAAAAAGTTTGCATCTAACTGTGTTGTATGCATTTTCATTCTCATTATTTAGCCAAATCTCTGTTATATCTGTCATATCTCTATCCTATACAGTATATACAGTACAAGATTCTTGATCTAACACTTAATGTTTAGTGTTTTAAGACTTTACATGAGCATTTCAGCTTATTTGTACCTTTCATTTGTCTAGCTCTTTTGATTTGTCTTATTGTTTACTGAGATTAATTTTCTGTATAAGATGCCTCTTTGTCTCATTTGTGTCATATTAACTATGTTCCTGTTATTATTTATGATTTCCTGGGTGTTCTTTGTTTGTAAAATCTGGCCTACCATAAACTTCTGTCTCCCAAGTTCCTCAGTTTAGTACTCACATGATTAAACTTCCTGTTATCATATGAAAATCCACATATGTGTCTAAGCATCCAAAAGCACAATATTTCCCACATAATATCAAAAAGTACATTTTATCTATTCATCCTAATTTGTTTTACATCTTTGAAAAATACTGCAAAATGCAACTGTTGAGTGCTGCATATCTAATGCAGGCCAGTACACCTAATACTAACAACAAAGATTGCTTTGGTGCACAGTTACTTTCACTGTGTTCTATCAGAAGGAATGCATCACAAAAAGCCTTTTATTCTGTAAAGTCTTTGTGTACATACAGTTTGTCCCATATCATGATTCAGCACAGAAGGTGGTAACATTATTTAAACAAATCTACTTTAAGAAAATCTTTTTCAGAGCAATTTACTCCAGAAATGAATTTACAAATGAATTTATCAGGTCTATATTTAAAGTTCTTCTGCAGTACAGCAGTCATCAAATGTGCACATTTAAACAATAAACAAAAAAGCCTTCATGCTACTGTTATAGTTTTCTTGCACTCTGATCCAGGCCCACTAAGGATAAGGTTTTCACCATAACTTGCTTTCTTTATATAATAATGAGAGTAGATGTAGGGGAAAAAGCTGCCCTGAGAAAATTGTCACACGTGAGAAACACAACACAACGATTCTTGATAAAAATGCTTATTATTGCTCCTTTTCAGGTTTAAATGGAATTAGAGGCAATTTATTTCCGAGGACAAGTGGGTACTGGGGCAAATAGTGTTCAAAGTCACATTTGTAACTCCAATTTCCTAATGAGATGTTTCACTCCTGCATCAGACTTTGCAATCTGCATGTCTGAAAAATTCATCAATGTTATCCTTTAAGGATCCATGCCCCCAAAAAAGTCCAGTAATATACAAAAATACAGTAACTTGACTATATCACTGTTTATTGCCTAAGCATAAAATCCTAATGTACCTTTTATTTATAAATAATGAAGTCACGACAGAGGTACATTTTGTGTCTCTTAATGACTTTACTGTATGTACTGTATAGTAATAACAATTCTAATAGAAGGATTCCATCTGGCAGTGTTCTACACAGCACTGACATCTGCCTTGCTTCCCCTGAGGCTGAAGGGTCAGTCCTGATACATGCACTGCAGAGGAGGCTGCAGGTTTACACAGAGGTGCACAGGTGAGATACATCTGAAATTCTGTCTGGATCAGCGTCAACTTTGTTCAAAGTGTATGCAATTACTGTATATAGTATACCACTGTTGAATTGTGGATTGTGTTGAAAATAAAATTCACTTATTTTTCTGTATAAATATATCTAACTTTGAAAAGTGTTTTGATCCTAACTCTAAACTACTTAGTTCCACCTGCAAAGAGTTTCATTGTCTAAAATGCTTAGTTGAAGCTGAATTTTGGGGGACATGTACTGTATATTATTAGTAATACTTTTACCATTTACAGTAAATCTTATTGAACAAAACAGGAGTTAATGGGTTAACAATGACAAAATGATATCACTGCACTATTTGATCTTTATGTCAAAGGTTTTAGTTCAAGTTTGTGTTGTACCTATAAATATTAGTATGCTTCTAAATACATGTGGATATAAAATGGCCATGGAATTCAATGTTCTCAGCAAATACTTGTCCGGTAAAAAGAGTCCTGTGTGAAACATCATATCACTTTCAGTTTAACATGATGACAACATAAAAACCATTGCTTCTACTGTACATTGAGTGTGTTGGTCAAATTTTATATGAGGGCAATGTTTTGGCAGGAAATTATGCAAAGTAGCTAATTATGTCATATTTTGCATTTTTGAACAGAGGATGGAGACAATTCCCAAACCAAGGCACAAAATTACTTTTAACATTTGAATGTTTTTGCTCTATGTTATAAGAACGGAGCAGTAACTAATCATTCCACTCCTTAGCTTGTATCATTCATCAGTCAGGAGTGCCTTACAAGGAGTGCTTACTTATGAGGCAGTGGAATATGCTCAGGATCTTTTTATATCTCAGAAACAAAGTAAGTAGTAATTTCTTACACTTATATAGCACTTTTCTGGACATTCCACTCAAAGCCCTTTACAGGTAATAGGGACCACCAATGTGCAGCATCCACCTGGATGATAAAAAATAAATTAGAACATTATTGATCCCCTTGCTTGTTTAGACTTTTATTTAGTTTTAAGGGTACTGTTTCAATAACTTCAACTTATAGAACTTTATACAATCTCTTGTCAACCTTTTGACTGAACTGCTATTACTAGTTGTTTTTGATGAACACACTGAGGTGGGAATGTCATTGTATCAGATATTCCCACATTGTTTCCTTCTGCCGAGGTCCAATTAGTTACATTGTCTCAAATGACGGTTAATTATGCAACTATAAAATTGGTACAGCTTTGATACCAATTACAAATTCCATTTGCTCCTTTAAGAACTGAAAGCAAAGTAATAAATATTCCTTTAGATTGAAATCTGAAATAAATTCTCCTGTGAATAAGAACTCAGCTAGGGCAAAAAGCAGAAGACAACAACCGGGAACCAGTTCTGTAGAAGGTGTAGTCCTTCTGAAGAGAAGTTAAACCAGGGTCCTAACTTCTTGATCATTAAAGATCCCATGGCACTGTTTGTAAGAATAATGGTTTTAACTCTGATGTTGTGCTTTTATTATCTTTTTATTATTTGAGTTTGTTCAATCTGGTCTGCATAATATTTTCTCTTAATTTATTTCTTAAAGCAATTTCTCACTCCACCTGATCTACTGTGTAGTGGGGCTGTTGGCACATAATGACTGCTACATTTTAGCCAAGAGTGCTTTGCTCCTCAGTGGTGGATGAAGTAGATCCCTTCCTATTTGCAAGGAGGTTTTGTATGTTTTCAATGAAATTAAAAAACTGTGAGTCACACTGGGCATTGTGTCACAACAGAAATGCTCAAAACAATATATACATTTTGCAGTGTGTGATACTTAATTAAAACTCCATTAGCAGAATAGATTAATTACATTGTTAATAAATCATATATACTATTAATATTCATTATTAATTATGTTTAAACTTGCAGACCAAAAACAACCCAAAATAACATATACAAATTAAACCAAAAGATGTTACTTGATAGCATAATCACTGAATACATTTTAGATCCTTTCCCAAAGCCAGGATCTCAAACTTTCTTTGTCTTTGTATGGCAATATCTATTTCAATAAAAGTTGAAATAATCTTTATAATGATAATGTTTCTTTATTAGCCCTATACAATTTCTTGCATTAGGAATTCATCTTTTCACATACCCCAGCTTTTCTCCATGGAGACACAGACAGGGAGAGAAGCTTGGGGTCAGAGCACAGGGTCAGCCATTGTACAGCACCCCTGGAGCAGTTAGGGTTAAGGGCCTTGCTCAGGGGCCCAACAGAGTAGGATTCCTTTGCCAGCCACAGGATTTGAACCAGCAACCTTCCAGTCACAGGCACAGATCCTTAACCACAGAGCCACCGCTTTTATGCTTTTGTTGGAATCCTACTTTAAATCTGTTTTTAAAAATTAACTTAATGCTGTGAACTGAACTCAAACAGCACTTTAAACAGGAGATTGCACTATGACTGACAAAGCCTTTAGATGTAATCTTTGAGATTAGGGTTAAATTATCGGTTCCTTCTTTGCATTGATTTATTTAAAATGATACTATTATTAAAAATGATACACTAATACTCCATGAATCTGATGCTCACTGTCTTGCAGCCCGTCAAAAGAAGACCACCTGAATATAAAATTGAAAATGTTCAAATAACATTGAAAATAATGTACTTTAAACACTGCAACGTGTACACAATATCAACATGTTTCTTCAAGTAGTTGGGGAACTTGAATTTTCAGTAATTACCATCCAATTCAATTGCTTTTCCAGAATATCTAGACAATGACACTGATAAGTCTATGAATATTTGCCCCCCCAAGGGTGCTGTTAAATTCTATGTACTAGGTGTTACTGATAAGAAGTGGGAAATTCTTTAAAGAGTTCATTCTTGAATCAGCAGCACTAGCTTTTTCTACCTGCTTTTAAAATATACTCAGTGTTTTTTCCTCTCACAGTTTTGAGAGAACGGGTAACCTGAAAATAGTTTTGTTTTATTACTTGAAAATAACTATACATTATATTGTTTTTTATTGTACCATGTAACTTATACTAAATGATGTAAACATTCCATGGTTTCATTGGTTCTGCATCGATTTACACAAGGCACTTTGACATATGTACAATGGTGGCCATAGATTTAATGGTGAATGATTAATCCTTTTGAATCGGGGCTCTTCTGGACCAGGGCTGCTAGTGGAAGGCTGATATGTCTGCAGATTTACATCTTTTTTCAAAGCACTAGCATGTGAAGGGCCAGGAAAGAAAGAAATTAACGAGTAATGAGTTGATATCGGTCTTTAAGTATTGGTCTTTAAGAACTGACTTAGAAGAAAAGCCTGCAACTGCAACTCTTTTGTACCTGGACTGGACACTGCTTGTCATAACATAAGCCAGGGGTCATCATTCCAGCTCAGCTCTTAATGATCCCAATCAGCTCTTTATTGGCATAATTTGACAGCTTTAACTACTTCTCTCAGCTATTCAGGTGCTGGGGCTTCCAAAAGATCTAGATAACCTGCAGACACACCAGCCCCTCAGGATCAGGAATACTGGAGGTTCCTGAGTTAAGCTTTGCATCTCAGTCTGTTTTTGTCCCTCCAGTCTGAGTCATCTCTCAGAACACACCTGTATCAGTTCATCTTCATCATTTCTGATCTCTTTCCTTCATGATAATTCATTCCTCTGTAGTAATTTACCATTCAAGCATCTTCCCTCTTTCAGACCAAGTCCTCCCACCATTAAAAGAATGAGGTTCTGATCCCACACATAATAACAAGCGTTGGATTTTCCTACATTTCACATACCTTTCATCACTATGCTATTAATGCTATGCCATCTTCAGCTTTCTGACTGAGCGGTAAATGGGCACTCTAATTTAAGGAGAATGTGGCTGACTGGAGTTTTAGAAAGACTTTATCAGCCAGCTTTCCACCAGAGGCCGTTAAAAATAAATAGACACACTGTACCCATGACACTGGAGTAACATCCAAGTTAAATGACTTATCTGAAAAAATATGAAAAATACCAGAGAAAGATAGAAATTCTAATGTTGTAGAACTTAAATGTGCTAACATTAAACTCCAGCAATGATGAGACAAATAAGGTTTTCAGGTGGAACAATGCCTGATCAGGTCACCTTTAAAAAGGCCTTAATTCAAAACTTAGGTCACTGAAAGAAAAAGGCCACACATAGTCAATTTTCTGTGCATTTCATAATGCCTCAAATGTCACCAGAAGCAAGGGAGAGGGCCACTGGCATGCTGCAGGCAGGCATGTCATGTGCCAGCATTTCCAGACACTATGGAGTAAGAGAAGGTTTCAGCAGATCAGCAGTACAAATGACCGTCCAAAATCCGGTCGCCCTCAAGTGACCACACCAGAGCAGGACCGACACAACAGACTGTCAATCTGAGAGATCATTTCAGATCTGCCACCCTTACTGCTGCTGAAACTGCAGGCAGACACAATGCCCACATCAGTGACAGGACAGTGAGGCTCCATGCTGCTGGCGTTAGAGCAAGGCGACCTGTCAGAGGCCCTCTGCTCACACCTCCTAGACGTCACACCTGACTGGCTTGGGCCAGACAGAGGCTGCAATGGACTCGCCAGCAGTGGCATCAGGTCCTCTTCATGGATGAGTCACTCTTCAGCCTGTTCCACACAAACAGGAGGGCAAGAGTGTGGATGGGGAGGTGTTGTGTTTCTTTTTTCCATCAGTATATATTGTAGCACTGTATGCCATTGCATTCTCCCCTGTCCTGAAGAATAAAACCACTAAAGGTGCTGGAAATATGATAATTCATGTATTAATTTGGATGTTATGGATACACAAGCCCAAGAGCTTTGGTATGTTGTATGTTGTTGTTGTTAGATTTGTGTTATTATCTTGAGTTCTACCTTGTGCCATCATTCTTCATACACTTCTGTAACGTTTCTGATTATTTGTGAATGGATGTGAGCCCTGGGGTGGATGGGAATTATGATTTAGCTATTTTTCTTCTCCAGAGAGTAAGTGTTGGCTGTGATTCACCTGTGAACTGAGTGTCATGCCAGGACAGTTGGGAGTTTGAACCCCACGGGTGCCCTGGGAATTTTCTCAAGTGACCAAATTCCTCCTGGGGCCAGCATACCACAATCGAGCCCCCATCATCCAATGAATCACCCAGTTCCAGTCTCCTTATTTATACCCAGTTACACCACTAAAACGGCGCTCTGACATTGAGGTGTGTCTGGTAATGCTATGCCCAGCTCCGATCTGAGAGAGCAGACAGCTCTGATCTCAAATAGGGTTTTAACCCTAAAACCCGCAACTTGCAGCCAGAAACTTGCAACCCTTAACCCTGACAATTTCCTGAATACCGGCACCAATCCAGTTGCATCTTTCCCCACAACCGTCCACCCATTTGCGTTGTTTGCCTTCTCACACTCTTAATCCCATCCTCCATTACACATCACCATCTTCTCCTCCACAATCGGCTTTCCCTGCCAGTCGACAAAGATCTCCAAGTCACTGCAGTCGGATTCCAGCCTGTCAGTAGCCCAGGACTGCTAGCTCCAACCAGCTGTTTATGTAACACAGAGGTCTTCAGAAGCCCAGTAAAGAACAACTAATTTAACCCAGAGGTCTCCTTTATTGCTAGAACACTGTTGGTACCCATCAATATTATAGTACATAACAAATAAGCTGAATATTCATCAATTCATTAAACTGGAGTTTTATTTATGTAAAATAAGTCAAAATATCAAAATAATTAGTGACCGAATAGTCACTTAAAAATTTAGTTTTTCTCATTCAACTCACTCGTTTTTAACTCATTTAATTACTTACAGTATGCAGGGTAGAAATTGAAGTTCAACCGAGAAAATATCAGAAGCAATGTAAAATAATAATAATAATAATAATAATAATAATAATAATAATAATAATGATGGCAGTCACGTTACAAATTAGAACATTTAAGGTGTAAAACAGAAATTTAAAAAGTCTATTGTAAAAAGATTGGTGCCGTTTATAAACGTTGAAAACGACAGGCACTATGACTGTACAGCTCAGGGAGCAGGTTGGGCGATACAAAGGGAGTGGTAGCAGCGAGTCAGCCGATTTGCCCATCGCTCCGGCTCCCGTGAGATAGACAAGTGTGTTAAGGTAACCTTCGGTTGCAGTTTTGTTTTTTTTTCCGCCGTGAAGAGTCCACTGAGCTGTATACATTTCATTAATCACAAAAGATTATATTTTTCCTTTCATTTAAAAAATCGATTTAAAAGACTGGTTCTTCCTCGTGGAGACGGAAGATTTTGTATCGTTTTTCTAGCAAATAAGATTTTTCATTAATTCAGATCATTGCCCTGGTTTCGTTTCCTCAGTTCAGAGTGACTGAAAGAAGAAAGAGATTGCGGTTAGAGTCAGAAGACAGACTCGTGTTGAAGGAATGGAAGAGGATGGGGATTCCGACAGTGATGATGTTATACGGGTTCCCGAGCCAAATGAAGATCTGACTAAACTTCTGAAGTATAAGGTGTACAAGCGGAGATGGTTCCTCCTGCTTGTGATCTGTATCCTCAACAGTTCTAACTCAATGGTAGGTATTGAAATTAGTTTTTTTTTGTTTTAGGATTAATAAAACTAATCTAACCAGTTAATTTTTTGATCAATAAGTGCAACCAATATCTCGTCGAGTGAGAAACCTGACTATTGTAATTGGCGTATTATGATAAATGTTTGGGATTTGGAATCAAATGATTGCTTAAAAACATAAAACAATGTACTACAGATTTTATTAGGTTAATTCTACTGTGTGTAGCCCAGAGATAAGATTTACAATCCGATGTAGTATTCTGAAAAGAAGCAAAACAATTACATCAGGGTTGATCCTAAAGGATAAGAACCCAACAAATCCATTGTAGGGAATGCCTTCTGACTTCTGACTGTAAAAGTAAGGTATGTGGTTGGGCGATGACTGTAAAGCTAAAAGGGTACGCATTCGGGTGAAGGGTTAAGTTCAGCTGCTCTGGAGTTTTGATATTGATATAATCACACATGACGCTCTCTTTAGTATTCCTGGATAGTTTTAGATTGTTTTTGTCACGTGACGGTCCTTCAAAGTTTGTCAGATCTCGCTGCCTGGTATAACACGATGCCCCCTGCTAATAAAAGAACAGGTCAAACCACTTTTCCCTTTACACCTGAGCCGTTGAGAACTTTGTTTCAGGGCAGCACGGTGTCATGGAGGTTATCGATCACAGTTCTTGGGTTCTAGGTTCGATTCTGACTTGTGCAATTATGACATAATTATGGTTTACAATTTAAAAAATCATCCTCTATCCAATTGGCAATAAATAGGTTTTGCTGAATTGGAATGTAGTGAAAATGCAATAGTTGTAAATTACCCTTTTAAGGTAGGCATGTCACTTTAAAATAAACTTTGAAAACATGGAACACAATTGATGAATTACCTTAGGTCAGAATTTTGCAGTCCTGGTACTTGATTGCCACAGACGTCTGGTTTTGGTTTGTACTCACCTCTAAATGACTTAATTGGATTAATCATTTTCTTAATTAGGAGTTCACATGCTGTTAACATCTCTGCTCATTGACTAAGGCTGCTGAAAAAACTGCTGGGAAGACATTGCAGTCCTACAGATCAGCAGGGCTGCAGATTCCTACCCTGTATCAGGGGCTCCCACATTCAGGTCTTTATTCTGGCTTAACACTCAATTCCAGAAATCAAGCTTTTATTAATCAAATAATAGTTAATTTGAGTTTGAACATGTTGGAGGTGAGGCCCCCAGTCGTGCCACAGGAGGCCCAGTGTGTCTACAGCTGGAAACCTCTGATCTACAGTGTTAGTTCTGTTAAAGATTCAGTTAAGTAAAGAGTACATATACAGCAAGTGTGTGGTTCCCCAAGAAAAGGACTGGGGATCCCTGCCCTAGAGTTCATGGAGCTGTAGCAATACTCCTTTAGATTGGCATGCTCATTTAAGAGGATCAGTGTCTCCTCTCCTTGTGTCTTTCTGCTGCACACAGTACACTAGTATTCAATTAACACTGATTGACATGCGGCACTACTAGGATGATTTTAGAAGCTTTTTAGAGCAAAATGTGCCCCTAACATTCATGGACTTCAATCTGAAGTAAATGAAAACTTCAGGTCAGTTCCTATTGGCTAATATTTAGTGGGCAGATACACCAAGTCCCCACCAAAGGAGAAGCTATCAACAAAAAATAATTTATCGAAAAAGATAAATTATTAATAATTATTTGTGACTTTAACACATACATTTCCTTGTGAAATGTACTTTTTGAAAATTGTTTGTATCTTTGTCAAATAACTGGGTTCTCAAAATTAAATCAAAGCAACTGGTTACCTCAAAGTCATTAAAGTCTGCCTGATGAATTTTATGTCCTTTTCTGCTTTTTGTCAGGCTGATATCTCATTCCATTATAGCTTTGTCATTTTCTTCATAAATTCATACTGTTCTGGTCTCTAACCTCACCAATTTAGTATTTGGATTATTTTGATCGTACAAAATTGACAGTGGTATAATACATCATGGTTATCAAAATAAATCTATCACACTATAAATTCTGAGTATTAATTAATTAATTGTTTTTGGCATTATATTGTAGAGTTACTGCCCCTTTGCATACTCATTGTAATCCCTGTTTTTAATGTCTGTGTTATAATAAATCCATTCATCCATCCATTTTTAACAACTTTAACGTTCCAACTAAGGGCCACAGGAGAGCTATTACCAATACTAGCAAGCAATGGGCACAAGGTGAGATACACCATGTACAAGACTCGAGTCTGTCACAGGACAGACAGACATAATCACACCAGAGCCAGTTTTACCAGAAGCCAATTAACCTTCCAGTATGTTTCTGGACTGTGGGAAGAAACCCACACAAAAACAGGGGAGATAGCACCCCAGGTCCAGAATTGAAACCAGGGTTCTAGTACTGCAAGGCAGTATTGCTAACCACTACACCACAGTGCCACCCTTATTACACTATGTCCTTCATGGTAATTATTCCTGCCGTGCGTATGCAACATGGTATACAAATTGAGGTTTGGAATTACTGATGTTCACCAAGAATGGTTTGTTTTTAAAGCATATGAAGTTGGCTTATCTAATAGAAAATCACAAGTAGTTACCACTGTTTGACCTTGTTGTGTAAAGACCTGCCATTTGTTGCCAAAACATGCATAGTAGTCTTGTTTGTTTTGAGATACATTTCAGCCAGCTGTATGTGTGTATACAATAGTTTTTTTTCGTTAACTGAGAATTTCAGTGTAATGCCTTGCCTCAGCTGCTAAGGTTGTGGCCTGTGATTAATTCCTTTATTTAACCAGGAGTGGCTGGTAAAAGTAAATTAAGTATTTCCTGTATGTTAGTATAGTAGCCATTTTGAGAAGAGAATCTGATGAAAATGCTGTGGTTAAAGGTTATGTCAAATCAAGTGACTTTGCAGTTAGACTAGCTCAATGGTCTACTGTAGTTAACTGAAACTTAATAAAAAAGCATTGAACTTTTCCCTGTAATACATATCTATTTAATTTTTTACTCCTTTGTATTTCCAGAAAATTTTCATTTTCATTTTTGAAAATAAAATTGTTGTACAATTGTTTACAGAGACAATTTCTACCCTTATGTGCAGCATGCATTTTCATACATGCTGTAACAATGTTTTATTTCCACATTAGGCTGTGAAAAATAAGCAAGAAGTAAAGACACCATATTTAGAAGGCGTTGTTACAGGATATATTTATCATATATGTCTGTAATCGTTGTTAATGAATTTATGCATATCCATAAAAGTAATGATGCCGCGCCCGGCCCGGGAGTGGCTCCCAGCCTGTGGTTGCCATGGGCAACAGCAGCATTCCCACAAGTGCTCAACCACCCGCCGAGCCTGCAAGATCGAGATCAGGCTGCTTGTCTGTTCGTCCGGTTGCCTTTCAATCAGGCAGCAAATCTACTAATCATCGGCTAAAGAGGCTACTAATCTACTAATCTTTGACTAAAGAGGCTACTAATCAAGCCTCTAATTATCACCCACATAAAGGCTTGATTCACAGCTTATTTGGCACTCTGTCATTGGGCTACTGACGGCCATTGGCGATCAGATCCGTTTACATCCAAATACAGATTGAGAACTCTGTCAAGAACTGTGTCAAGCACCGCTTAAGCCGTCAGTCTCCTCTGCTTGGAACCTGGGCATCTAAGCTTGCCAGACTTAAATCCTGGGCAGCCAGACTCAGTCTATATCTGCTTGAAAACTGGGCAGCCTCGCTGGTCTGCCTGAACCACCGAGCTGCCTGGCAGTTTGGAAGACCCAGGCACATCTGCTGCTGTCAACCCCGTCTGCCTGAAACCCCGGGCAGCCTTTAACCTGTCACCAGTCTGCCTGAAAAACCCCAGACAGCCCTTTCTACTCCTACACTTGTTGCATTCGACTCTCCCTGAATACCCTTGGAGATACCCAGAGCTCTTGGATCTTGACTTGCTATTCCGCACAGCACCACAGGTACTCGCGGCAAAACAAATGATGCATAAAATGATTCTCAAAGGCAAATTGCTTGTTGGCACAGGTGTTAAACTGTTGTTGAATTACGTTTCCAGAAAGCTTGTTCATGTCCAGACAGACACTTACAGTAACATAGGTTTTGTCCTGTGGTGTGGTGGTTTTAGAAACTTTGATAACAGTAAATAGATACATAGATTATATCTTACTCTGGTATTACAGAATGTATGTTGTAAAGTGCAAAATTAGCAGTCTATTTTAAAATGTAAGTTATAAAATTGTTATAAATAAGGGGTTACAAAAAGGTGAATGGTGAAAATGGCTTTTTGGAATAATCAATAAGTAAAATAAATAATCATAACCCCCAAATTGTAAAGATTGACAAAAATAAACCAGAGGAATTGGTATAATTAGAAACATTTGAGATGTTCGTTCCCTGGCACAGCTTTGACGAAAAGAGTAATAAATCAGCACACCAGGTTAAACAAATATTTATTAATAATGACATTAACACACAGTTAGAACACATAACACAAAATATAACATACAAGTCACTCTACAAGTTTCTCTGTTTATGTCTTGGAGACCTACATCCTGACCAACCAAAATATTCAAATTCTATATAATATCTAACAGGTCAAAAAGATATGATAAACCTGCCTTCTAAACCAAATAGAATATGACCTACAGTTGAATCTCTCTATATATATCTGGATGCTACAAAGTTACTGGGAACCTATCCCTAGTCTAAAAAAATGCATCCACTAACTAGAAGAGACTATTTATAACCTAGGGATTCTTTACAAAGGAAATCAGTTTTCTTAAAACAACAGAATGCCATGATCTCTTCACAAGGTTCAAATACTCATTTTGTAGTCTTAAAAGCTGATCGGAACAAGGACATCCTTCCAGTCACTGTTTCTTCTCTCTGCTCTGTCTCCTCTCTCCTCTCTTTTTATCCTCTGACTCTTAATCACTTGCCTGGAACTTAATTAACCAAGGGACACCAGACAATTCCTGTCTCAATAAACTCAATAAACAGCTCACTTCCTTTCTTGATTTGAATCTCCTGAGAACTGCAAATGTTGACACTACCTAGATGTTGACTATTGTCTCTAAATTGTCATTTATTTGTCTCTAAAAAGCCCCTCCCAACAGTATAAAGACAGTATAAACAGTATTGCTAAACGTTTGCATCATGCAGCACTCTGCTTACACTTTTATTGTGCAGATGCAAAGGAAGAGTACTTGGTATATCTAGCGTGCCCACATCACATGAAATTATGAAACATAACTAGTGCTTCTTCCTGCTCTCTGAGAAATTCTGCTCGGTGCAGAAATCTGGTGTCAGCTGTAGTTCTGCAATTCAGGTGACTGACCATACCACACAATATTAAATATGAAAGGGGAAGCAGAAGATTAGAAAGGGAAATCTGTTCAAAAATATCTTAGAAAACGTTAGCTTGCATTACTATGTAACTAAGAATACAATTTTGTTGGTGTGCTGAAATCTGTGGTGTGACAAACAAGAACTCGTATATCACAATATTTTTGTATAAAATGCCCTTTGGATCTATTACAAAATATTCTAGAAATCTATTTGTTTGGTCCATTACTCCTTATTCAGGTTTATTTTTTCACTTAAGTGTAACTTCTTGTTATGCTTAAACTCTAATCTAATCTTTCTGACTACTTTTCAGAACCTCTCAAGAGGTAGAAATGGTTCAAGAGGCTGGGGCAGAGTTCACTCTTGTTTGCTGTAATACCTAAATCAGCCAATGTCTTTTTATATTCTATGTATGTGTTTGGGTATTACTTTAACACTTGTTATATTGATCTATATTTCAGAAGCTGGTTGTCTTTCTGTTCTCAAATGATAGCCGTGTCTCTGTTTTCAGCTATGGTTGAGTTTTGCTCCAGTTGCTGACCAGACAGCCCAGTTTTTTCATGCCACTCTGGATCAGATTAACTGGCTGTCACTTGTTTACATGGTTGTAGCCATTCCTGTGAGCTTTGGAACAACATGGATGCTTGACACTTTAGGACTGCGAATGTCGGTGAGTTTTAGAAAATGCTATATCCGTGAGCTGTTACTGCAGTGTCTTTTTAAATGTATGAGTCTAACTTAATTTTGCATCATGCTCTCTGTTTACACTTAATTTGTGCAGTCTTATTGGCTGCTTTATTTATGAACAAAATTGTAAAACATTTTATTACCTATGAAATAATATAAAGTATTGTTGCTATATGAACAAGATCTTACTTTTTATGTTGTGCATCTATAGTGTTGTCACCACTACAGAAAGCTCATTCTAGCTAATGAGCAAAAAGGAAATGAAATTAAATGCAGTATTTCTCAATTCCTTTCTTCTATATGTTAACCAAGAAATTGCTTCTGTTCAAATCAATCATCCAAGGTAGCAAGTTCTCATCTATGATTTCTACCTCTGTTAACATTTTGCAGCAGAGCTGCACTTCAGTAGGGGAATATGTGTGTAATCATTTTTAATAAAAAGCAGCTTAAATAGTAATTTAATACTGGGTTACATTCGTTTTAGTTGAAATAATTGTTAATAGGTGATTGTCTCATACAGTAAATTTAAAACTTAAGGTATTGTCAGAAGGAATTTTAGGTGTTTGCTTGGTGCAGAGAGTCATGTGAATGCAGGAGTGGTTGTTTTCTTAATTATCTATCATCTATCTATGATAGATAATCTATCTATCTATCATCTATCTATCTTAATTATCTATCATTTTGTGTCCTCCATCCTCTTGGGCTGCAGCTGATACTCAGCTCCTGGCTTAACATGTCTGGGAGTATCCTTCGCCTCGTCAGCATTCTGGGGGTTACCCCTTACACGCTTGGAAACTACCCCATGCTGATGGGTGGACAGAGCCTGTGTGCCCTGGCTCAGCCACTGGTCATCTTCTCGCCCACCAAAATGGCAGCACTCTGGTTTCCAGAACACCAGAGAGCCACTGCCAATATGCTCGCCTCCATGTGTAAGTGACTGAGGAATGTTTTGATGCCAAGAAAGTGGCTGTGATTTCTTCTAGTCAGTGCAGTCCAATTTGAAGAGTGTCTACCACTGTGAAATAAAGCATCTTTGATCCATAAACACCTGCCTGGAAGTAATAAAATGGCTTATAACCTACTTCCACAAATGCTCAAAGACCAACTCAGACTTAAACTCTTTAAATTACAAATGGGAACTTTAATAAGAAGCTGCAGTTAATACATTGGCAGCTAAGAAATGGCCAAATATAGACCACTCTATCTGTATTTCTATACTTCTCTATAATATGGGACCTTGTATTTATCATCATATTGATATTAATATATTGAAATGTATATACAGTACTGATACTGTACTGTACATTTACCAAATTGCAATTTCAGCTAAGACTGCTGTGATGTCCGAAGTTTGTATTTCTGTACAGTAGAATACAGAGTAAAAACATCATTTAAATGTATATCTAGGGTAAAATAATATGTGTGACAATATGTTAAATCATATCACATAGTTTCCATTTTTTATTTTTGTTGCAGCAAACCCTCTGGGAATTCTGCTTGCAAACATCATTTCTCCTTTGATTGTTAAGGACAAAAATGAAATTCCATTATTGGTGAGTGCATTATTGGGGAAAAAGCTGACACTTTCACAAAAAGAAATCAGATATTCTGGGGTAGAGATGTCATCCCTGAAAAAAGGATTATTTCTTTAACTTTTTTCCTTCTACACAAACCTGAAGCTGAACTAAGCTGAAACTAAGTCTAACTTTAGAAATTACTCATATTAATGCAAAATCAATTTCTTATTCCACAATTATATGAACCAAATCAAAATTGTATCACAATATTATTTCTATCATCTTTCTGACCAAATTGTTTCCTAAAATTAACCACTTATATTTTACTGTTCATTGTGAAAATATTTTTAATACAGTGATTTTGTGATGATTAATCTAAAATTAATTTGAAATGTTTTTTTTTGGGTTGTAGCTGGGAATTTATACTATTCCAGCTTCCATTGTCTGTCTCCTAGCAACACTGGGCATCCGAGAGAGCGTTCCCCCGACACCTCCTTCTGCCAGTGCTGAAATATCCAGTTCGGAGCCATTTTTTGCAGGAATAAATCTGGTAAAGAGTTAAAAAATGGATGTAATCCTGAATGTCTGCTCTACTGTGATAACAGAAAGATGATGATAAAGTTTTGGTAATTTGAATTAGGTGTTTCATTCAGATCAGTTTCGGATGTCTCTAGTAGTTCTCTGAACATTCTGAGATGTTTGGGAAAGAGCTCTGTCATGTTTCTGGTTCCTGTTTTTCTCAGAAGTGTCTGTAGAAACACTTGGTGTTCATGATTCATAATCGTACTCATTAAAATCCTATTAATTTTTTGTAAAGTATTACTAATAGCAATAGCAATAGCATACGTATTACTAGTATTACTAAAAACATGCAGTAAGTATTACTTAGTAATGATATAAATCTAACTCATAATATCAGTTTTAAATAAGTACATTTTGGCAAACCTTTTTTTACCTCTAGAAGAAACTGGAAGAGTAACAGGTAAAAATATTTCCTAATTTTTGGAAACTAAACTTTTGATTCCAGAAGAAAGGCAGCAATATATGAAGATATGAAACTGTGTAAACAAATACAATCCCATAACCAATTGTCTCGGCAGTACACTTCAAGCAAATTCTATTTATTTCTATGATTTTTCTTCAGTGATACTGCATGATCAGTTTTGATTTAAAAAATAAAATGCCAAAAACACTTTTTTTCAGAATACGTATTATGTGCTAATTCAACTGATTGATTGAATTACAATATGTTACAGTGCTGTGTTTTCACAATTAACATCTTTGTTGGGGAGTGGGATATGTAGGTGATGGTGCTAATATGACTTTAAGAGCATGTACTGTAGCTTACCTAAGGTTCTGTCTTTGTTTAGGCTGAAGGGAAAGTAGGAGTGAGCCAGGCTTGCACAAACAGAACTTAATGCTGAACAACATTCTTCTATCTGCTCTTTGTCTGCAGCTGCTAAAGAACAAAGCATACATGATTCTTCTGCTGTGTTTCGGCTGTGGGATTGCCATTTTCACTTGCTTTTCCACACTGCTGGAGCAAATGCTATGCGTTAAAGGATACTCAAATGTAAGTAAATACAGGATCCAAACATCAGTATCTCAGACTTACAGTTTAAAAGTATTCTTGGTCCACTGTGAAGGAAGGCTGCAGGCACACTAATCAGAACAGACTTACCAGAATGAAAAGGCACATTTAGAGCAGAAGCCAGACCCTATAATGCAGAAATCACTGAATGAATATAACCTGTTTTTTAAGTCCACTGTTACTTTAACTAGCCAGTTGTTTTGAGATTTGGTTGGGTTTGTTCACAACTATTATATTCTTGCCTTTCTGTACAACAGCAGCCTCTGGTTTGCTTGGTGCCTGTAAACGTGCAGTATGAACAGTAAAAGGTGGCTCTGATACCTTAGATCTGCCATCAGAGCTCACAATGTGAAAAACAAGTGGGTGACTTGATGGTGTATGTTTCAGTGGTTGGATGTTATTTTACATTAGGAAGTGTTGTTCTAGCACCAAGGTAGAAGTGAATACGTCTGACTTGCAATCAATTATTCCATAATGAGGGTACATAAAAAGGAAGAAAATAATCAACAATTCAAAACTGAAAAAGGAAATCATACTGATTACTGAAGACATATAAAACATTGTTAGAAAATTCAGTACATTTATAACCTCATGATCTCCTGAGCTGTTAAGTACTGACGTGGTAAAATGCTGATACAAGAAATACGGAATGAATGACTGCCTTTATTTCATTAAACAGGAATTTGCAGGACTTTGTGGTGCCCTCTTTATTGTGTTTGGTATACTGGGAGCTTTTGTTTTTGGGATGTACGTAGACAGGACAAAGAATTTCATAGAAGTCACCAAAATCAACATGTGTCTTTCCTCACTGGCCTGCATTGTGTTTGCTGTGGTAAGTTGAGTTTGAAATGAACATATTAGTTAATTCCTTTTTATGGATTTGTATTTTTAAAAGTTGATACCCGCACATACTTGCTGTACAATATTTTAGAAATGAAAATTTTATGACACAAAATTGGCAATTCTACACTCAATGAGCTTCCCTAGTCAGTGCAGATCTGCCCAGATTAGTCCTACAACCTGAGAATCACAAAATTAAATCCATGCTGTTCAACTTCCGAAGTTTTGCTAAAACACCCTAATGGTAGTATGGATGACTGGGTGAGAAGTATGCATTTATGGGATCTTTCCTGTCGATGTTTTCCTTGCTTTTGTTCGACCAACAGGTATCTCAGATGGAACAACAGAGCTATGCGGTGGCAGCTGTTTGCTCTCTTTTTGGCTTGTTTGGATTCTCAGTGTATCCCATTGCCATGGAATTATCAGTAGAGAGTTCCTATCCCGTTGGAGAGGCAACATCTGCAGGACTCATTTTCATATCTGGGTAAAGACGGTCTCTTCCAAGATTTTAGACATTTATTCAAAGTGATAGTTTAAAAGGGATAGCTTTAAGCCTATAATATTTATGTCTTCTCTTCACAAAACAAAAAATGAAAATTAGAATCTCATTCTGACTTATCTGTGGAGTTTACAAAGAAGTCTTTTTGCAAAAGGTCTGCCTCTCTCTGGGTCTTTAGATTGCACACATTTCTCTTTATTTCACTGGTGGATTAAGTGGGTTTTCTTCTATGTGTAAAGCACTTCTTGAATTGTTATAATTGTCTGTGCAACTAGACCAACGCTGTGTCCTAATATCCGTACTTGCGGTCTCATGTCTTTCACTTGCATGTTTCTGCTTGGATCGGCAAAGTCTTAGGGTGTCACATTTTCTAAATTGTGTTTCAATTAACCCTCTATGAACCCTTCTGATATGTCCGCATAGGAGCTGACATCGCTGAAGGGAATTACCCCAAATTCCTTGCAAAATTGTGATGTTTCATATTCTAACTCATCACAGCTGTGGGAAGTTGCCTGAATAAAATATTCATGTGTTGATAAAACTAGACATTTTTACAGTTTTAAAACTCATAATGTTTTATGCAAAAACAAATTTTAATTAGGCTATGTTAGATTAATTTGTATTTTAGATATGAAATGTTGAGATATAGTTTTTATTTCGTTATTCCATTTTGAGTGATGATTATTCGTTTACATACAGTGTATGGTGTCTACAGACAAGATGACATTGTGAGATGAAACTGTGAGCAGAGAATGAAAAATTATTTGAAAAATTTTCTCTTGGTATGCACTTAGCCATTGGAAAAGAAGCAGTGTGAAAGCAGTAAAACAACAGGAAGCATTTTCACCGCGAGCTGTAACCAACAAGTTGCCCTTTTTGTAACGATGCAACCTGAAATGGTTGCACAACTTAAGTCCACACCTGCTCTGCGTCACATAAGTTTGGTCTTGGAGGAAGGGCTTAGAGCTTTAGTGTGGCTTTTGGGACACGGCCTAAGTCTTAACTCTTTAGTTTTGGACATTACATTGACTCTTACATCACAGTCTTTGTACTTAGCATATCAGAACTGATGTAATTAGAATAAAATGAGCGAAATGTTTTAATTCCTTCCTAATGCATCTCATTGCAGACAAATCCAGTCCATTGTCTTCATTATCGTGTTACAGCTGCTGACTAAGCCACTTGCAGATCTGCCTTATTCAGCCTGTGCACTAGGAGATAATTCTGCCTTGAGCTGGAAAGGTAAAATGCACAGTCTTAGACCTTTGTCAAATTAAAATATCAGAAACCTTCTGGCTGATCTTTTTTATCATCATTACAGTTAGAGCTGACCTGATGGTGCAGATAAACCTTTGAGAAAATGCTTTTAGCACCTAAAAGTGCAGCATGATACTACAACATTCAAATTTTGAAACAAGATGATGTATGGTAAGAAAAACTGTGGAAATACATGATGTTTCAGATAACAATATGGAGAATAAGGAGCTAGTCAAAAATATATAATTAAAGTGTGTCAAAAACCACAGAATTGAATTTTGGGAATCCAAAGGTTCCAAAGCACTTGATTGTCATGTGTATAGTGGGCTGCATACTAACATTTTTAAATCTCAGTTCAAAAAACAAGAAAGAGGAACAGCTGTTGCAGAACTCACTCTTTCCACAGTGGTTTTAAATAAAGCAGATGTGATTTTAAATAGCCTAAGGTCTTAACATTCTGCAGTTCTTTTACGGGTCTTCAAGGAGTAATGCACACATTGCCACTTAGTGTTTCTCATTCTCTTGCAGTGCCAGCTCTGGTGATGGCAGCTTTATGCTGTGTGGGAACCTGCTATTTTGTCATCTTCTTCCACACAGAATACAAAAGGCTGAAAGCAGAAGAAGCAGTGTTTGAAGGGAATGGCAATGAGCTGGAGGATGAAGCTGTTAATGAAGGAGAGTCAGGAGTGACTTCTACAGACAACCAGTCTCCCAGACTTTAGCAAAGAATTCTGCATCCAGATCTATTGTGTCATTACAGAAATCTGATATAGGAAAATAGTACATTTGTTTATATATTTTCTTTTATCTAAAAGGTGTAGTGCTGTGTGGCATGACTTCAAAAATGCATACAATTTTGTTTGTATTTCTTCCTAAATTTGTAACAAACCGTACGTGTTGGTAACTGTAAACCTGCATGTGGTTTTACGTGGGGGCGTGTTCAGCGTGGAGGTGGAGCTCTGGGTGGCAGCTGTGCTTTAATTAAGGACGAGCCACAGCTGTCGGGGCCCTTTAAGACACACTGAGCACTTCCCCAGAGGGACGAGCAACTCCCGCAAGGGGAGAACGTCAGGGATAGGTCCGCAGGGGATTGTGATGAGAGTGTTGAGGCCGTCGTTTTTGCATCATTTTCTTTTCTTTTTCTTTTCTCCTGTCCCGCCGCCTGTCTCCCACCGGGGCAGATTGCGTTTTCCCTCCCTTTTCCCGCCATGTATCTCCACTGGGGCGGGTTGAGTTCTTTTTGTTTTTGACCTCGCGCTCCCTTTCTTCACCAAATAGGGATGGTCCAGACTAGATCCCACTGTTCCAAGAAGTTCTTTTTCTCCCAGGCTGGACCCCGCTAGATAGGGACAGTCCAGCCTGGACGCCGCTGTTCAAAGTGGTGCATTTTTCTTTTTTCCTTTTTGTTTTCTTTTTGGTTTTCAGTAACCTCAAACTGGTGCCTCCACTCCCTCAGATGGGACGTTGACTTTTACTGGTGTTCACCATAGCTTCTCCCGAATAACATTGTTACACTGCAATAATAATTATATTATCCATCTTTAAGTGAATTTGCAATAATATATGTAGAAACAACTGCTTAAAATGTTGGAAGTAACAAACTATGTACAAATGTATTTGAAGCAGTGATTGTATTGATTTCTTAAAATATTTTAGGCATGGTGATTTATTAGGAAACACTATACTGCCCTACTGAGCATCTTGTTTCCATCTTGCATGGGTCTTCAAATGGAATGGATTCACAGGAGCTGTGAAGAAAATATAGAAGCCTAACTTTTCCTCCTCTAAAAGAGTTTTAGTTATTTGAGGGCATTTGTTTCCTCAGTCAACACAAGGAGCTTTATCTTTCAGATGGAAGGCTTCTCAGAATAGATTAATGTTTACTTCAAGTCCTGCATAACAAAAGTTTTAAATCTAAACATATGTCTCCATCTTAATTGAGTTCTGAATTTATTAATTTCATATTACTTCTGAAAAGTAAAACACGGTAGTGTAATAACGTAGCCTTTGTAAACAATTCAGTTTGCATTAGCCAAACCTGATGAGTCAACTGTAGTTTAATTACTGGTTCAGTTCTAATACATAGATTTTAAGGAATCTGACATGATAAGGTACAGTCTCAAAAATGTTGGTGAAAGGTTACCCTCAGGTTACCGTGATCTTTGCTTCTCAGACTCTGGAGTTCAAACAATTACAAATCAAAGCTGTATTTTTTGTAACTTTTTATTACTAATGTTTAATACATTTTATACTTTTTGAAAAACTACCAGCTTGTGTTGTATTATGTGAAAGTACTGTATTCGAAAGGACCATGTTCTGCTGCTAAAATAATCATTAATCCATGTTCATAATAAGTAAATCTTATGCAAAATGTTCCTTATTACATATCTTATTTACTTGAATAATTACTTTTATTTATGTAGTGTTGTTCACCTCAAAAGAATCCCAAAACATGTCCCAAAAGAGGACCTACTTCACCTCGGAAGCACCTGACTGGAAGACTCTTGGCAGCCATTGTGTCAGGAACACCACTACAAAAGAGAAATTGCTTTACTAATTGAATTAAGGGGGAATATCCGGAAAAGCAGATTCTACAAACCCAGAGTGGTGTTAAGCCAGGACACTGGAAAAAAAAAACAATTAAAAAAATGCAATGGAATCCTTTTATGACAAGGTAGTCAGGACCTTGGTCTAATATCTTATACTAAGGACAGGTAAAACCTTCTGTGGCGTTCTCTGTAACCATACTAGGTCATTGATTTAGAAATTGTGGTTCAGAGGGAACAGTGCCATCTACTGCTCCACCAACGCTACTTACAGCAAGAACCTGAATTTCCTTGGAGATAATAATAATAATTGCTTACACTTATATAGTGCTTTTCTGGACACTCCACTCAAAGCGCTTTATAAGTAATGGGGACTCCCCTCCACCACCACCAATGTGCAGCATCCACCACACATCAGCTATCAGTGGAGAGGAGAGCAGAGTAATGAAGCCAATTCATAGATGGGGATTATAAGGAGGCCCAATGGGAAATTTGGCCAGGATGCCGGGGTTACACCCCTACTCTTTTCGAGAAACACCCTGGGATTGTTAATGACCACAGAGAGTCAGTACCTTGGTTTTATGTCTCATCTGAAGGACAGCACCAGTTTACAATATAGTGTCCCCGTCAATCTACTGGGGCATTAGGACCCACATGGACCACAGGGTGAGTGCCTCCTGCTGGCCCCACTAACACCTCTTCCAGCAGCAACCTTAGATTTTCCCAGGAGGTCTCCTATCCAAGTACTAACCAGGCTCATACTTGCTTAGCTTCAGTGGGTTTCCAGTTGTGAGTTGCAGAGTTATATGCCTGCTGGCAGAGCTCTGATTACAATACTTATTGAGGCCAGTTTTTCTATGTTTTTGAGAACTGACATGATTAGGCTACAGGGTGGTAATGCAGCTGCCAATAGTTCACTGGAAATATGGTGCTTTGCCAATTTTTTCCTCCATCTGCTTAATTGAACGTTCATTTAACTAGTTCTGATTCCAATCCTGTATTACCTCTGTGTCTCCTAGTTTTGGTTCCGACTGGGCCTTAAATCATCAGTAATAATTGGTGCCTGTAACTTATCTGCTTGGTGTTCTGCTGTTTTTCTTTGCACTCAAATGATGGTTTCAAAAATCCTTTAAAGTCCATTGTTTACAACAACTTCAGAGCACAAAACTTTATGCAGTCTCTCCTCCACTTGCTAATTAAGAATTTGCTCACTTTAAAGCTTTTTAGTCAGAAGTGATTGGTGATCAATTGGTAATGAACAGACACTGGTAGGAATGATACTGTAACAGGCATCTCTCACAGTGAGTCGGTGTTTTTTCCTTCAGCGGCAGTCCCGACACTCACTCATTAGCACAGGATTCATACCAATTATACCAGCTTTTTGCTAACGATTGGCAGCAGGTTTGTCACCTTCTATCCTGATCTCATCAGGCTGGAAAACGTGGTTGAAGTCAACCCCTTAGTTACCTGTGAAACATGTAATACATTAGGGTGGTGTGGTGGCTCCATGGCTAAGGTGCTGTGCCTGTGGCTGGAAGGTTGCTGGTTCATATCCTGCAGCTTATAGAGGAATCCTATGATGTTGGGTCCCTGAGCAAGGCTCTTAACTCAAACTGCTCCAGGGACACTGTATAAAGGGCTGACTCTGTGCTCTAACCCCAAGCCTCTCTCCCTCTCTGTGTGTCTCAGAGAGAGCAAGTTGCGGTATGTGAAAAGATAAATTCCTAATACAAGAAATTGTATATGGCCAATTAAGTGATCTTCTTTCACATTCTGGTAGTTTGTAAATTCTAAGCATTGATGTTATGTATCTCAAAAAGTTCTTATTTTATAACAGCTGCTTATCCTAATAAGCAGTAAAGACATTTTAGTAAATAAGATGTGTACACCTGTGAGAACTGATGGCATTACAGTGGATGTTCAGAGGTATTCAACAGGCAAGTCACACTGAGTGACAAAAAATAGCCAGGGATGTACAGTCATGAGCTGGCACTCTATTTCTGTCTTGTCAGCAGATTTGAGGTTAATAACATCTAAGCCAATAATCATGGCTGAAATATGGTGAGATAGTTTTGTCTCTTACAAAGTCAACTTAAACCTGTTTAAATCTAAATGGGTGTATCCAGTGCGATCTGAGACAGGCACTATTCACTTGGTATTGCAGACAAAGATATTGCCTGGAACAATATATGGAATAATATAAATTCTACTATCAAAAATCTGTATCATAGTATGATTCACATTTCTTTACAGGGTGTATTTGATCCCTTGATGATGATACTGTATATGATAGTAAGCTAGTTCCCAGTCCCTTATGTACAGTACACCCTAATGCTGAGAGGCATGGGTGGGGACACTGAACATCTCTTACACACCTCCTCCATTCTCTTAATGACAGACTGCTATCTTTTAGAAACTCTCGATTCATTTGCAGATTTCATTTTTTTCACTCCTGTCCCCCCAGATCTCACTTTGTTGGGAAGCTCTTTCTCACCTGCTCTGTACCTACAGTATTATCATCTGCTCTGTCATCTGTTCCCCATTTGCCTGTGTTTTAGATCCCTGCTACCTTCCTCTCTCTCCATCACATCTGAAGAAGGCTCAACAGCCAAAACATTGTTATTTCTTTCTACTCTTCTGCATGGCAATAACTTTAACCTGATCTTTTCCACGTGTTTTGGGAGTGTCATGTCCAGACGTGTTTAAGTTCTGGAAGCAAGTCTCTTCCTCTATGTCTATTGTTCTAATAAAGGATTATTCCCTGTTCTTGTGTGGTACTCTTGCTACATAATAATTCTTTATATTGGCCTTTTGCATTAGCAGACAAGGATATGATTAACTGGTCTGACTGAAAGTAAAAGGATGATGGCACTGAGTTGAGAGCCTCTGTCCTCTTTCCTCTGTTATCATTGAGTCATCAGAATATTGAGTTATGTCATTTATATGGTGCTCTTAGGGGTATTGTGGGCACTTTGAGTGATGCTGCTAGTGCAGTCAGATCCCTATTGCTAGGGACTGCTGTTGTTATTTAGTCCTTGACTGGACACTCAAGCTAAGGGGGAGGGGATGGAATAGTTAAGTTTTAACGGGGTGGGGGACCTGTTTTTGTTCTTGTATTTTGTTACGTTTAATACGAAGGAAATACTGTATTACAAAATGTTTCATCATTTTGAAGCCATATCACTCTGCAACTCACAACTGGCAACCCACTGAAGCTAAGCAGGTGTGAGCCTGGTCAGTACCTGGATGGGAGACCTCCTGGGAAAAACCAGGGTTGCTGCCGGAAGAGGTGTTATTGGGGCCAACAGGGGGCGCTCACCCTGCAGTCCATGTGGGTCCTAATGCCCCAGTATAGTGACAGGGACACTATGCTGTAAACTGGCGCTGTCCTTCAGATGAGACGTAAAACCAAGGTCCTGACTCTCTGTGCTCATTAAAAATCCCAGGGTGCTTATCGAAAAGAGTAGGGGTGTAACCCCGGTGTCCTGGCCAAATTTCCCATTGGCCCTTACCAATCATGGCCTCCTAATAATCCCCATCTATGAATTGGCTTCATTACTCTGCTCTCCTCCCCACTGATAGCTGATGTGTGGTGAGTGTTCTGGTGCACTATGGCTGCTGTTGCATCATCCAGGTGGATGCTGCACATTGGTGGTGGTGGAGGTATACACTATTATAATGCCCCATTATCTGTAAAGCGCTTTGAGTGGAGTGTTATTATGACAGATTTATGTATACTTTATTTACATATAATTTGATATGAATTACACGAAGCAATCGTGATACAAGTTTGAAGACAATATTCAGTTTTGCATTAGTCCGCTTTTCCATTTGGCAAACGGAGTTGTCATCAGATTCTGCCAGGAAAACTCAAGGCGCTGACGTTGTGCAGAAAACATCCTCCTATACACGGTATCCTTCAGCTGTGAGTGAGACGCCTCAGCCACTAGGGATATGTGACGTAAGCAGCAGACGGGTACAACCCATCATACACAACAGATGCAAATAAGGAGCAAGTGAGTGTATTGCGTAAGCGACTCTAAAGTATATGTCATCAACATGCGCAGGGATCCTTACGTAAAAAGTGAAATAAAGTACTCTTCAGTAAAGATAAAAATGATCAGGTTTAGGTTGTGTCCGACATACTTCGTTTTTTAATGTTTGGAATCTAAGACTAACAAAACGGTAGGCACATTTTTGTAAACGAATGAAGTTATCGCATACGAAACTGTTATTTATGTTAGTTTGCTGTCTATTTTCGTTGTTCGTAAAACCGGTGTCATGACCAGCCATGCAGAGAAAAAGACCATTGAATTCAATCGAAAACAATGGTATCGAATTAAACGTAACATTTATGTGATTCAAAGTGCAACTGATAACCTTTTGTATAAGCATGACACAAAGTAAAATTGTGTTTAATCAGTACATCCATACACCAAGTAAAAATATCAATATATTTAATTGAATAACACATATTCGAACGAAGATCATATGTCGGCAAGTGATCGAATACTGTAGTTTATCTGAAAGTTAAGAATTGTGAAAAAAGTACGTATTTATTTGGTTAGATCTCTTTGCAGTCCTGCGGATTCAACAACGAAGATATTATTTTTAATTAACTGGAAGATATATTCTTTTACTTTCGCCCAGCTACCTGCGGGAAGTAAGCAAGGGAGAGGTGATTTTATGAACATGGACTCAGTTACTGCTACCTCAGATCTGGCACCTGCAGTTGAGAAACAGAGTGAAGACAATGAGCGGAGTACCGAGACCCCTCCTGCTCCTCTGTCAGCAGCTATGAGGGCGAAGATTGAGCGCAACAGACAGCGGGCACTCATGTTAAGACAAGCAAGGATTGCCAGCAGGCCATATTCTTCTGAGAAAGGTTTGATGACTTTTTTGTAGTTAAATGCTAAAATCGGTGCATAAATGATTAGATATGTTAGCTTAAGGTTAGTAAGGGCTGATGTTCCCAGAATCTGCTTCAGCGTGAAACAAGTGAACGAAATACAGATAATTTAGTTTTGTATAATTTAAGAACATCTCACACAGATCATGTCAATAATTCTTTTCCAGAGTTTCGTTTTTGATGTTTGTAAAATAAAACCTTTATATGTCTGTTTTCTAGATAAACATAATTCCAGATATTCCAGATAAACAGGATTGATTGTAAACCTTTATTGATCTCTTAACTCAGTGTTAATTAAAATGCCAGAATATGTTTTGCAGCTGCTTTCACTCTATGAGCTGCAGTGCGTCTTGAAGTCTGCCAGAACAACACTTTTCAAAATCCCAAGAATGAGATTCAAGACCGGAGAAGCAGCCTTTAGCAAATATTCTCTTCCTTGTTCTTAATCCGTTTTCTTACATCTAGAAGCAAACCAGACTTTTAGAATCTAGTAGCTCTGTTTGAAAGTAACCACACTTTCGATTTTAGAATTTTTGTTTGAATTTAGTTTTTTTTCATTGTGTTCTTCTGTAAATAACCTTGTGAGTTAAAATGTGCTCTATAAATAAATAATTATGAACTTTCGTCAGTACATACTGTAGCAAAAAGTGAAACCCAACACAGGTCTTCAGAAAAAGTTTCTTCTAAAATGTCACTTAAAAACATGGGTATATAAATAGCAATGGAGATGTAAGCAACAGTTTTGAATTTGATGCCCGTAAGTATTATACCTGATACATAGTGTTGTGTAAATTGTAGCTACTATGGCTACAATTCTGTTGGTGCTGTCTTTGAGGTATACACAATTCGAATGTGAGACTCAGGGCTTAAAATGAACACGAGATTGCTCTGTACATAAATATTTTTCTCGGTATTGATAATACTAAATTTGTGCCTGGGTGGTAAGGAAAATCCCTTTAAAATCAGAATTGATGTGATGTTTCCTGTCCATACAGTTTATTTAGTCTTATTAATGTGCTAATCAGGACTGGAGTTTAGATTTGAACCAAAATTACACATCACATTTTGTGTACCAGTTTAACATATGACTGATATGTAGTGATTCTTGTAATAGTTATTTATACAGGTTGGTAATGCGAACTGATGTTTTGGTGTAGTACAGTAGCTAGTATTAAATCTGTTATTCATTGGGTGTACCACAAATAAAATTAGAAATTAGTTTGATCTGCAAAGGAATGCAGTTCAACCTTTCTTGTTATAAACATATGGTATGTGCTTCAGCCTAATCAGGGGCTTCAGGGGACTCGAAGATTACAGAAGAGGGCCTCCTGAATGGATCAACCAGTAAAGGTTGAGTTCAATGACTGATAACTGATGGCTGATTGTCACTGGGATTCCCAAAGCAGTGGCACACAGTTGGCTGAGCATCACCAAGGGTAGGGTGGGATTGGACTGCCGGCTCTCTCTCAGCTCTCAGCAACAACAAGTGACCATTACAGCTTCCCCAGAGCTTCCTGGATTGTGGTGCTGTTGATGAAGGACTCGCCTCTCCTCTGAGCGGCGCTGAACGCTGATAAGGGGTTTTGGTGCCTAAGGCATGTTAAAAGACAAGCATCTCAAAGATAGACAGGACAGAAGAGTCTGCCTGTGTTTTGTTAATCTCCTCTGTGGACATGGGGATCATAGCTGTGAGCTGAGTGGGGGAAAAAAACACACAACTGGCTATTCCGCTTAAGGATTATAAGAAATACTTCACTAGGAATGAAAACAGCCAACAATTAGGCGTGTAAATGGTTTATTGAGTATTTAAAGTTAAAATATCTCCTCCTGTCCCTTGCATTCATCGTTTACATCCCCCCTCCACTCTGTCTTCACCTCTGCAGCTGCCCCTTGGTCACTCCTCTCTCTGCATCGGTGATAAAGCCTCGTCATCCTATGGCCAGGAGGTCAGCCCTCAGGCAAATGGGTTAAGCCAAATTAAAGTACAGTATGATGTTTAAGTGATTAAATGAAGTCACGTAATTACAGTCCCAGACAGCTGAGGATGATAGAATTGGCCTTCGTTACAAAACTCCATTAAATTAAAAAAAAAAACGCAAAAGGTTCTTTTTGCTTTATCATGCAGGTGGAACCTGTGCAAAGATCTCCAAAACCATTGACTCTGGAGGAGGATTCTTCATTGAGGAAGAGGAAGAAGAGCAAAAAGTGGAGAAAGTGGTTCACAAACCAGGTACAGCTGAGCCAGCTCATTCTCGGGACTATCTCCTGTGCAGGACATACATTCAGATGCAGCTTCATTGGCATTCAGACAGTGTGCAACAAACACAATCCAGGCAATCAATATACTGGCTATTGATTATTTCAGCCATGCTTGAAGTTATGAGTAGATTGCGTTGTGTCACCCTGATAGTATGGATAGTAATTATGTGATTTTTTTTTTAACTGGAGACATCCTTGTCAGAGCAGAGGTTATATCAGTTCATTAGAGGACAGCAGTTATTTAATGCACATGTGTCTGAAATATGAATTCTGGTTAGATTTTCTATTAAACGTTCTTCCATAAGTGAGGTGGATTAAAAGAAATCTTCACATCTGCCATTTCTCATTTTGTTTTTTAGGACCAGTGGTTGAGTTTGACTACCTGTTGTGTGAAGAATGCAATAAAGCTTTCATGGACTCCTACCTCAGCAACACCTTTGACTTGTCCGTGTGTGACAACTGCAGGTACAAACCTTTAGACCTGGCTTTTGAGGATCCAGGCTGAGTCATACTTGCTCAGTTTTCTTGGATGGGCTATTAATGCAACCATTAACAGCATTTTGTAATTTTCTGTTCTATTATTGAACATGACACAGTGGTTAGCAGTGCAGACTGGTGGTGCTGGGGCTTTGGCTCCCCTGTGACCCTGTATTGGATAAAGCAGTTAGAAAATGGATGGATTGTGGAATGCCAATCTGTATTCTGAAGATCTGAGATTCTGGTAAAACAAACTTGGGTTCAGAAAGTGTGTAGCGGGTGATATAAAGAATGCATGACTGCTGTTTAAAGTGGTGCTGGGGGATCAGTAGATGACCTTATTCTTGATGGTTTATTGCAGGAGATGCTGTTATTTAAGATGTTAAAATTAGCCACACATTTTGTTTTGTAACCAGCCCAGTGGCTCTCTGGGGTTCTGAATTGTGATCCTTGGTTCAGGGTGTTGATCAGGGTGTTTCACTAGAAGCAATTCTCCCCACTGATGTAGTCAGGATTTTGAAAATGAAATTTACTTCCCAATGCCTTGAGTAAATCGGTGGAGCCCAGTCACAAACTGGGTATTAGTAGGTTGGACGGATGTTTTGCCTTTTGTTCCTCCTCTTTAGTCTTTGGTGTTTGTGTCGTTTCAGGGACAGTGAAACCAAGCACAGGCTAATAACCCGCACAGAAGCCAAGGAGGAATTCCTCCTGAAAGACTGTGACCTGGACAAGCGAGAGCCGGTGCTGAGATATGTGCTGAAAAAGAACCCTCACAACACTCGATGGGGTGATATGAAACTCTATCTCAAGCTCCAGGTACCCAGGGCCTTAGGGAAGTTACTGTCTTTATATCCTCAGCAGTGGATTGAATGGCATTAGAACAGAGGTCTTCAGCTAGGGGTAGGACTTTTAAGGGTCGTAGCAGGTATGTGGAATGACTCAATAATGCAAATATAAAAATAAAATGGTCTCCGGTTTATTACATCATTGTGTATTTACAGTAAAGAAATTTAATTTCCCATGTATTTAGAAGATTTGACATTTTTACTGCATCATTCTTGGGTACGCATGCCTGATTTCTGTTTGGCAGCTTTGTGTTCATACACGAATAAGTAGTGAAAGTGGCTGTGCATTTTTTTTTAAAACAAAAGAGGATACAGCAGGAGGAAAATGCAGAAGAACACAGAGAAAATGCATCATGTCAGAAGGTTTGCCATACAGAGATGCTTACAGTTTAGATTTACAGGTTTGATTCTTGAAGATGATCTCTTTAAAAGAGTTTGCTCTGTAGTTACTATATGAAACTACATGTATACGAAAGATAATTTGAATTGCGGTGGCGCAGTAGTTAGCTTTGCTGGGTTCAATTCCAGACTAAGGGAGCTACAGTAAGTGTGTTGAGTTTGCATGTTCTTACTGTGTTTGAGTGGGTTTCCTCTGGGTATTCTGGTATCCTTACTCAGTCCAACCACATACTGGTAGGCTTATTGGCTTCTGGGAAGATTGGCCCCAGTGTGAGTGTGTGTCTGCCCTCCTTGAGCTGACACCTTAGGTCAGACGGGGAAAAATTTTAATAAACTCCATATTTCTTCAGTTTTAAAGAATATGTTCAATTTTCTGTATTAGATTAACAAAAAAATAAAATTCAAAATTTGCCACTCGTGTTGTTTTCAGAACTTGCAGAGTACCAGTTTAAGTTGAGATGACTGTTATAGCTTTAACATTCCTCTGATGAAAGCAGTGTACATTTTGTGTACCTGAAACCAATTTGATACCCCCTGTAAACCATCTCAAGTTCTGTAGCAGCCAAGAAAAATGCGTTAATACGTTCATGAGGGGGCTAGCAAGAACATAGTGAGGCATTTTTATTGTCAGATAATCTAATTCTCGCAAGAGAAGTGAAACAAACATTACGCTGTATGCAACAGAGAAAAAATCAAATACCTACACAACTGACATAGAAATTTTACTATCTCAAGTTTTTAAATACATTTAAATAATTTAGAAGATTACAAGTTTATCATTTGTTATAATTCTTTGTTCACATGTGGGGTTTCTAATATGTCAAGTCACTGCAGAGCTACTTTAAAAATATAAACGGAAGAAGCACCTAAAAAAACTATCGAACTCTCAAAGTAGGCATGAAAGTGCTGAATAGAACTTTATGTAGTGCCATACGTCAACCTCTTGCTTGAAGCTGCTGACTTTAGGCAAAATAGTTGTCTGATATCAGGTGTAAAGTTTTACGTGAATTGCGTGTCTTGAACTGTCAGGTGACTTTCCTCATATGTCCTGGCTCTAAAGGTGATACAGCGATCTCTGGAGGTGTGGGGTAGCCAGGAAGCACTGGATGAAGCGAAAGAGTCACGAAAGGAGTCCCGAGAAAAACTGAGGCAGAAACGGTTTGACAAGAAGGTAAAAGGTAGGAAACTTATACATTCTGAGATTTGTGTAAGTATTTGATTAATTAGCAAAGTACACTTTATACAACAGTGTAGCCAGATCACCACTTGTCAACTGGTACAGGCGTGCCCAAACAATTCAGATGCTGTTCCAAGATTTACTGAATTTTCACAGGCCTATGCTTAGATTTGTTAAATTTATTTCTGTTTAGTTCAATAAGAATTATGCTCCTCAGATAAAATCTTCCTTTCCTTGGCAGACTGGACTGCATGTTTACTGCTCAGCTCTCACTTTGAGAGGGTGACAGATCTATTCCTCCTTCCTCTGTTCTGTTTGGGGTTCTGGCAGACGAGAAAAAGAATGTGCCTCTCTTTATCACCATTGAGTGCTATTCCTATCAGTCCATGTGTTCTTTTGTGGGTGATTGCTCCCTACTCCTTAAACTTTCTATTTGCAGGTGTTTTTCACTCTTAGCTATTTGTCGTAAAAAAAAAAGACACCCCAATCCTTCCCCAAGAGACACGTCATCACACGTACCTACAGTATCTTCATGGGTAGCATCATGGCCTGGCAAAAGAAACCTTTATGCTGTCCAGCTCTAGAGAAACATCCACACATTACTGTCGCACAGAGAATTCACACACGGCTTTTGTATTCCTGAATCTTTCTGGAGCTTTAAACCTGTCACTACCCTACTGGAACCACTGGTACTGGTTGGTCCTACAGCCACAAGCGGTTTTCTGCAGTATAAATGACGTTAAACAGTTTCGTAAACAAAGACCCAGTAAAGTGTTAAAATGGGCAAATCAGATTTTTAAATGAGAAAGTACTGCCTTCCCAAACTTCAATAAACCAATATATAGAAGAATTGGAGGAGTATCAATTACCAATTTGTTTTTTCAGAATTTACAATCAATATTAGGCGCCAAACTTGTTTTGAAAAACTGACAGTGTCACTTTTGTCTGCCGTCAGAGCTGAGGCGGGCCGTGAGGAGCAGCATGTGGAAAAAGGACTCTAGTGTACATCAACACGAATACGGGCCAGAGGAAGAGATCGAAGAGGACACCTACAAGAAAGTCTGCACCACCTGTGGCCATGAACTTACTTATGAGAAGATGTAATGGTGTGGGCCTCTTTTGGGTTGTGCTGAAAGTCTGGTTTGTAGTGCCTTGTTCCACAACTTTAAATGATCTTCGTGGGAAAGGATGTATCAATAGGCAGATGGTAAGCAGAAGTGTCATGGTGCTATAACTGACTAATTTACTTAAATATTTGTATGTGTATGTGTTTTGTTTATACAATATATCTGGCTGTATATGTGTGTAAGAGGCACTTCAGGAGACTGGATACAAATTGAATCGTACCGTAGCTTTTCCTGAACTGGTCAATTAAAAAATCCTTTTATACATTGAATTTTATTATTCATTGATGCATTAAAGTTGTATATATATAGATTTTTTTGCATAGGACAGATTAAACCTATTCTTTTGCTTAATTGGCCGTTTTTGATTTTTGAACAGTTACATAATGCAAGCCTGTTGTAGCCTGTGAAACTAATACTTTACTGGATGAGGTGATTTTTTCACTTTTCTATAAGCATCAAAACCAAGTTCCAGAGTTATGTAAACTATTGATATGGTATTCTTTGTAAAACATTTTTTTTAACCAATCTTCATGTAATTAGTGGAATACAGTCATGTTTTTATAAAGCTGTTGTAATTTTAGAGAAACAAGTCAAGAAAAAAAAACATGGACCAAACCCATCAAATTGCAGATACCACTTCCTTTAGTGGAAATGACAAGATGCTAAGCAAACTAAGAAAGAATGAACTACACAAATACCAGGTCTACTTTGAATAAGAGTTAAGTCTTAAGTGCAAACATTTATAAATCTAATAAAATATTACTGTAAAGCTTTTTAACTGTCCAGAGTTTTATTTTTCAATCTTTGTTTGAGATTTACAGTAGCAACTGATATTTACTATATTGGCACTTTTTTCTCATTACATTTTATTAAAAACAAAAACCATATGATAAAATGACAACAGCTTAGGACAGGAATCATCTATCTATCCCTTCTCTGGTTTGAGAACATTGGTGAATTTTCTGTGGGCTATACTGGCTGAACCTTTTTGGCTGTCGGAGTAAGTCTTATAAAGCCATGCACCCAGTCAGTCTTCCTTAGCCTGATTCCTGAATTTTTATTGTGGTGATAAAAATAATGTTCTAAATCATATTTTAATCGTGCACTGCACAATTTTAACATCTCTTTAAATTCTGTGCTTCTAACTACTGTATATATCCTAGTGCTAATACTATCCAACTGTTTCTAAAATGGGTGTCTAATCCTAAGGCAGGAGGTCTGTTTTGTGTGCAGGTCTTCAATTTCTCTATAAAGTAACACTACCCAAACAACTTTGATAAGATGTTTGGTTTGGTCCAGTTAAAACCGTAACCAGCAGATTAAGGTCACTGAGTTAAACTGAAATGAAAACGATCCCTGGCCTAGAAAATGATGCCTCAACATGAAAACAGGTGTTTATCTTTTTCAAGGTCAGTGTTTGCCTCTTATATTTATAGTTTCTGCTTTTGCTATGTGCATGGACCACTCTGCATGTTGACATTAAATGTAAAGAGGGAATTAATATTCTTATTAATATAGCCAATAAAAGCTAAAATTATGAATGTGTAATGTGGTAGGGATCCAGGCTTTACACTCTGTATTGACAAACATAATATGAAATCACTTTGAATCAAATTGAGTTTAATCTCTTTACAAGTGCATTGTTTCTTGTGTTTCATGAGAGCATTGTTCAAGAAAAACGTATTTTTTAGCTGTATGACTTTCTTTCAGGTGCATAAACCAGTCAGTAAGGTTTATAGTACACAGCATTCTCATTCTTAAAAAGAAGTCTGATGACGTGAAACTACAAAATGATCACATCAGCAGAAAAGGATGAATAAACATATGCTGATGTTCCCTCTCCATATGGAGTCAGTAGTTCTGAGAAATATTTAGTTTCCGATGCAATGACATATGACTCATTCTTAATAAAATACAAAAATGTATTTTGTGTCTTAATTTTTTCCTCCTGCTGTGTAATGCAGTGGGGTTTCAACATCTGCAAATTTAACATTTGAGGTTGTGTGTAAGGGGTGTTGTGAAGGAGAGCAGCAGAGCAGGATTAAACTGAGACAAAGATTGTTAGACACAGCTTGCAAGTTAGCTGCACAACAGACTAGGATCATCAAATCTTTTGTAGTTAGTGAGTAGGCCTCTCCCTGCCTTTTAACAACTCAAAGTGGTCTTGTTTTGTATTGTAAGAAACACTTCTGTTTCTGCATTGGTTTTGTGGGGAATGACAGGCTGAGGATGACTTAACAGGCTCACTGACAGTTTTATTGCCCTTTCCATTACAGTGGGAATGTTCATCACAGAGCAGGGTATTGGCTGTGAAGGCTGAAACAGTGCAGGTACTGCTGGATGCAGAAGAGGGAATTATGTTGTTTATTGTAGATGATTACGTTTGTGCGTAGTTTTAGATGATCAATCTATTATAAACAACTTAAAGCCAATGCATTAGTACTTTAAGTATCATATAAAGGAGGGTTACGTAATGTCTTTAACCTTAGTAACCATAAAACTTTAACCATAAAAAGACTTCGTTTTTTAACCATACATACTATATACTGTAGTACATTATGCAATGGTAGAAGAGTGAATTTGGCTATTTGCGATGGTTGATTTCATGGTCATGCCTTTGCCTGTATCCAATTAGAAAAGAAAGACAAAGAAATTTTGCAATCCAATTTTGCAATAAGTGAATAGTAAGGCTGGTCAGCTATTTTAACTTGCTTTAAGTTTGATATAATTACCTGCAATGGGAAAGAAATCAACTAAAAATCTGAAGACGTTTGCTACCTTAACCTTGAAAAGATCTCCCGCAGGGTAACCCATCTGAGAACACAAAAAGGCTTCATTTCTGAATCGGAAAACTGTTAATTATATATACCAACTACCCCTAACGGAATGTGTACTATAGTTTTTTGCCTTTATTTTTGATACACTAGGTATAACATCTCATCACATGATCATCCATCTTAGTATCTGCACTGCTCTACACACAAAAGGAGATCATGCCCCACAACACTTCATGGCAATATAAATAAAAAGGGAAGTTATAAATCAAAACATATGTTAAAGTAAATGGTTTACACAATAGGACATATTCAATCCATGCTTTTACATGGTGTGCTTCTTCAAATCAAATGTTGCAAACACTGGCAGAGAAAGACATTTTTAATGTAAACCTGTTTGGTAGAAACTATTCTGTCAAGATTTAAAAGAAAAAATAAGCAAAGGACACCGTTTAAAAAAAAACAGGAACAGATCCAGTGTATTTCAACATTACTTTCATACAGAATCCGTTTCAGTTTCAATCATACAACCTTGCCTCCATTTGTAAACCCCCTTCTTATCTGTAATAATGATTAATACTAGGTTCTGGAACAATGTACGGCATCTTATGGTCGTACAGAAATTTAAAGTACTTAAAATGGTAAAAACGAGAAGGCTGATGAATCCAGATTTAGTCAAATTATGGAAAAAACTTGAAGCACAGGTTTCACCAATATTTCATGAATTTCTATACTTCAATTTTTAATAACCTCATCAGACGTTCAACGGGTTCAATAAAATTGGTGAAAAATATAGGTTGGGGTGGGGGAGAGTGAGGCAAAAAATTAATTTTAAGGAAGCTAACTGGGGGATAAGAAGCAAATTTCAATGTTTTTGTCGGTAAAATACCACCTGTTTCTCAAAATAGGGATCTTACATTTAATTTCTTTACGTTAGAGATCCTGAATCCCCCCACCCCAAAAAATTGAAAAGGGCGCCTCAAACTGGAAATCTTGATGCAAGAAATGTCAAGTCCTTGTCCTGTGTGGCTGCTCTTTTGCTAAGTGTCCACAGGGGTTAAGGGTTCTCACTGCTGCAGGGCACAGAACTGCTGGTACACAGCCAGGATGTGGTGATCCAGCTCAGCTGTGAACAGCAGGTTCTCCAGAGTCCCCATGTATTGCTGGATCGTCACATGGTGCTGCAAGAAACACATGAAATGCACAGTGAGCCGACAAATCCTAACTTTCATTGTCTGTTTTCCCATCCAAAGTATTTCTTTTCCACCTCTATGTAAACCCAGTAAACCTCCCGGACAGGAAAGCTTTTTTTTTTTGCTTTCTATGCATTTTAGCTGGGCAAGTGGAAGGGATTAGCGCTGTTCTGTACGTGTCAGAAAACACTGATACTGTGTTAACGATTGGCACCACATGAAGAACGGCTAAATACCATGAGGAAGATCTGCTGCAGCCTCTCAATGCAGTTCTTGTACCAAGGGGTGTTGAAGTCCACACCTCCAGTCTCACAGCGAACCAGGTGCTCAGTCAGAATCATGATGAAGCGCTGCAGGGGCAAAGAACCAGAAATAAGCGACTGCTTACACCACCAACTATAATTCAGTTGCTGTTAATGTGTTCAGTTGAGAATAAGCCATCAACTTAAAAGCATACAAGTGAAGTTTGAGTATATACACCTCATTTTTTAAGCTATGACTTAAGTGGAAGAGAATTAAGTGTAGTTTCAGTATGCTTGACTCTATGTCCATATACAAGATGGATTATGAAGAAATCACAGTAGCACTTGTGTTTCTTTCCTCCTCCCCATTCAGAAAGCAGTACTAAAGACAAAAGAAGAAAGGACATCAGGTGAATCGTATTTAAGAAAATAGGAAGGGCCACAAATAAGAGGGAACTATTTGATCCTTCTTGCTGGTTTGAATGTTGGAAGCTAATTGGCCCAAGGATCTCATCCTGCTGATTTCTGAAGGACACCAGAGACCGCAGTCTCAATAACATGGCTGGGTAACCTATCCTAGATACCCATGACATTTCTCTTATCAAATCTCACAATCTCACAGCCTCACGCCCTGGTCTGAAAATGTCATGCATTTGCATCAAGTCTAGGCTGCTTAAATAGTATAATAATGAGATACTTACATACTACAATTACATAACCCTACTTTTTATGATTACAGCTCCATCAATATTGTTTCTTTTTTCAGCAGGGAAATTAACTCTAACTTACTGTCACAAAGTCACTGCGGCCAGTGGAACGATATTATACTGAATCAGGTATCAACAGGAATGTGCCATGTACATGTAACATGACATGCAAGTCTAGTGCTCAAAGGTGAAGGGCAGCAGTGTGGTGCAGGATTTGGGTTCAAATCCAAGGTGAGACACTGCTGTTGTACCCCTGTACGCCTGAACTGTTCCGGTACAATACACAGCTGTATGAATAGGTTGGCTGATATTTACAGTATATCAATTAGTAAAGAGAGGGCAATTTGGAGTGTATGAGTATTAAGACACTGACCTGAAAGATCACCAGGAAGAGATTCTTCTGCTCACTCTGTGCTGACTCCACCTTCTCCTGTAGTCGCTCAATCTGCTCCTCTAACTGACCGTCCTCCTCATCACTGTTCTTTTCAAACTCATCTTCATCACCACTGTCTTTCTGCAAGAGCACAGATACGCCCAATATATGAGCTAATAACACGAAAAGTACACTATGAAACCGAGTTTCCATGTGCTTTGCATGAAAATGCTGAGGTTATCATACTACTGATTGAAAACCTTCAGTAAACTGAAGTTTTACACCCTTTACATATGTAAGAACTACTGGGAGTGAATGAAAATTACCAACACTGCAACACTAGTTTTTTCACTTCCTTTGCAAGTCATGGGAGTCACGGGGAGAAAAAGCTTAAGGACAAGTAAAATCTCCAAATATATATTGCAACATTCAGAGCAAAATTAACATTAACCTATGAGATAGACATATTAAATATTAAACTTGCTGACATTGGGGTATAAAAGTCCAGAAATAAGATCAGAAATATTTGAAAGATTCTAGAAAAGCTATTGTTAGCATTTCTGTCAAGCAGTTATACCCAACATAGTTCAGCAGTAATACGCAATAACAGTCATAACTGACTTCAGAGTATTAAAGTAGTCAGTCTAGTTAAACTGGTTACATCTTTATCAAAGGTCACATCTTTTATGTAAGCAGATAGTGAGCAGCTGGTCCTTGCAGGTGAACCACTGTGATCAGAACGTGCAATGCTCTTACCCTCCTGTGCTGCTTCTCCAGTTTCTCCTTGGCTTCCTCCAGCTCTTTCTGGATCTTCTGAACATGTTTGTTCATTTTACGGATGGTGGAATGCAGAATCTCCCATACATAGAACCTGTCAATCAGAGAGATAGTTCAGATTATGAATGAAAAGACATAAGAAATTCTTTAACCATAGAAGTAATGAGCTTGCTTAGTCTAAAACATAAAATTTTAGAAGGGTAATAGGAGACTGAAATCAATGTTTTAAACAGGGAGCTCTGTTTAGGACATTACCTGGTGAAGTCATGGGCCATGTCTGGGGAGAAGATCCAGTTTGCCACTGCAGCACAATCAACAATCTGTGTACGAATCATCTTATCCACAAGCACAGCAATCATCTGATTCACAATAAAAAACAAAGATTCTCATAGTATAAACAGGCTGACAAATATAAGCACCATTGCTTACACTACAGATAACAAAACCTTTGTTATGTCAGGAAATACTCTGAAGTTCCATTTCTTAATCACAATAATTAATACTGCAGGTACATATTTTACTAATGTAATAAGTTTGACATTTCAATGTACAGCCTTAAGAAATAAAGCAAGCGGCTCAGCCTATAAAAGCACATGTCTGAGTGCAGGCTGAATATGATCCCGACCTTGCAGGTCTGAGTCGGGGTCACATAGCTAACCGTCTGTGACTAGGGTTCTCCAAGCAGCGGTGTTCAATTGGTTAATGCTGCCAAGGGGAGAGTGGGATGTGTTGGCTGGGGCTAACTTGGTTATCAGCGACAACACCTGCAGCTTTCTAAGCATTTGCAGGCTTGTAGTGCCTCCAGAGCCATTTCTCTAATCGACACCAAATCTTCAGTATGGGGTTCTACTGCCTGTGAGGTGTTAAAAAGTGGCTTGAAGGTGGGCGGATGAGAGGAATCTGCCTACACTTCCCCCATTTCCCCCTACATAATTGCAGAGTTTGCATTCATTAGATGTGACGTGAAAATCACTTGAACGGAGATTCCAAATTAGGTGGGTATAACAGCAAATAAATGAAACCCATTTCTTATAATGGTTCTTTTCTATACCCGTTACACACAATATATGAATCTCGCATTGTATACAATTATGCAAAATAAACTGAATCTCTGTTCTTGTACCTAGATCTACCAATTTTTAGCAATTTATCCATTTTAACCAGAACATCACTTGATAAACTAGAGGCTATTCTCTTCTTGTTCCAGTAAGTCACTTTATGTATCTATAGAAAGCTTCTGCATTTTGCTAGCTTACAGGAATTAAAATGCATTAAAATAGTTTTACATTTTTCAAGTGAAGACATGTTTTTACAGCTTTGGGTGACTGAGAAGTGTCTCTTAGATTTTAGATAGTTTGTGACACTGGGAAGAGTAACCCCTTCTAACTTCAAAGCAGAGAGGATGTTTGCTGAGGTCTGGGGGTCCCTTGAGGAGAAACAATTGTAAAGTTTTTCTTAGTATGCCTAGGAAAGTTGTGCATAATGATTGCAAAAGAGCAGAGCACAAACACAGAGTATAAGTTCACCTTTAGAGCACAGGAGAGAAGAAGCAGAAGGAAGAAACAAGGAGAGCAGGGAGAAGAAAGAGGAGTCCAGAGGAGTTGGGACGTGAAGCTTGCGCCAGGCGAGAGCTCCTACTTCATGATCATCCAAACAAAACCTGACTGGTCCTAAGTATTTGAACCTTATAAGAGCATGCTATTCTGCGTTTTTAGAGAACTTGGGTTTCCTGGGTAAAGGATACCTCAGTTAGAAACGTCTTTCCTGCTTAGGGTGCGTTTTATGGATATAGGCTTCCATTTATTTTGTGGCATCCAGGGTGCAGAGAGAGAGATTTAACTGCAGGTTGCATTGTATTTAGTTAGAAGGCAGCTCATCTCTTGTGTGGCCTCTGTAAGCATATTAAGAGTTTAGTGCTTAGTAGCAGTGTGGGGTTTTCTGGTTGACCAGAATGTTAGGCCTTTGAAACACCTTGTCTGTGAATACAGTATATAATGTAACTTTGTGTGTTGCATATTTTCTGTATTGTGTACTTTATTGTAATACATATTTGTTTTAATCAAGTGTGCCTGGATTATTACTCCTCTCAACAAAGCTGTGCCAGAGAACAAAGAATTCACTTGCCTCTAGTTATACCAGCCGCTCAGGTATATCCTTAGAAATCACGTACAAGTTGGGGGTTATGAATAATTATTTCACTGATTGACTAAACCGCTTGGTCAAATCACGTGTCATTGTTTTAAAATCTGTCCAGCCTCATTTGTAACAACATTTTAGAAATATTAAGAAAATTAATTTAAAATAAACCCAAAGGGAGGCACATCACTTCCCCAAGCACTTTCCCCACTATAAAGAACTGAATTGGTATATTTTACATTTTTCAGCAAATGGTAATGGACTGTATAAAAAACCTTTAAGTCTCCTAGGCTCTCAGGTCTATGTAACCCAGTTACCCAAAAAAAGCTGGCAACCATATCCAACTAATGAAAGGGAACAGATTTATAAAATTAAAAAAACGCTAATCACACCAACACAAGGGAGAACCCATCAAATATCTGTTTACAAGTAACAGAAGACTGCACGGCCACCCATTACCAGGGCTGCAGATTTCCTGGGCTAAGCTCACACTGCACTAACCTGGGGGTGGTTCTTCCAGGCATCATACACTACTCTGAGGATGTGCAGCTTCCCTTCATCACTGTCTGTCAGGTTCTTCAGCACTTCATGAAACCTGCAGAAAGGACACTTCTACTTATAATCTCACACAAGGCCGCAGACAGTTTTAGAATGAAATTCTAGGAGACAACGAATAATTTGGTTCATTATACAAAACATTTGAAAAGAATGCAAGTCATGAGATAATTCTGAAATTGTAATGTGTAGGAGTGCAATGGAACACCTTGTGCTTAGTGTTCTACCATGTCTTTATACTTATAAAAGGTGCAAACAAGAAAAGGCCATTCAGCCCGTCTTGCCCATTTTGTATGGCTATGAATCAATTGATTTATTCCTTTTAATGGATATGATCCTGACATGTCCTTTATATTCAAGTATGAACACACTTCAAAAACATCTGTCAATCAGAAAGTCACTTATTCTTGGTTTGTAGTGACCTTGAAACATAGGACACAAGGTGAGACTGCACCCTGGATGATGTAGACCCTTGTGTGTACATGCACATAGAGACCATTTAGGAACGCCAGTTCATCTAGTCCGCATGTCTGTGGAAGGGGGAAGGAAACTGGAGTGCCTGGAGAAAACCCAGGTGAACACAGAATCAATTTCAAACACCTAGAGCTATAAGGCAGCAACACGGGTACTCCTGTGTCACTGTGCTGCCACTCTTTAATTTCTTGGAAATATTTATTGGACTCCCTCTGCTTGCTTTGTATTTTACTATAAATAATTTAGAACTTTTAATACCTAATAGTGGAATTTCATGCTAGTCAGACTTGAAAGTATCAGGGAGAGATACTTACTTGGCTAAAGCACTGAAGGAGTGGCTGAACGATTTGGCAGCTAAATGAAGGAGTGTTTGTAGAAACGCATCAATCTTCAGGGGGTTGAAGCTGTCTCCCTCATCTGTCAACAGAAATATTCCCAATGGTATGAGACAAAGGTATGCAAGGGCCTAATACCTATTATGGGTAAATCAGCTATTCCCACTTGTACAACGGGTCAAATGTTTTTTATGCTTTTAAACTGGAACTGGAAAATGTTTGCAGAAATGCTGGCCTTCACACAAGCTCATAATATATTGTGGATAACAGACTTCATATTCCAATTCTAATACCAACAGGTTCCTGCTATAACTGCCAAGATGGAATCATATTGCCATTTATTTTCTTTGCCTTCAGTATAAAACCCATAAATGGGTTGCTGTTAAAAACAAGTATTTGGTTGTTTAACTCCAAAGACAGTATCACTGTAGTTGGCACACAATTAAAATCCGACACTGTAAATCTAGAGCAAACACCGATTAGCCAATTAATTCAAAATTTCATAAGTATCATTCCAATGACAACAGATTTCAACATGTGCTGAAATGGGGTCTCTGGCTAAACCAGGAAGGCTGCCTAAACCTACACCTGAAAAGTGTGACCATGATACGAAAGCATTGAAAAACATTGTATTTAGACAGACCATCATCCTCTTCCTGATTGGGGTTTGGCACATCTTTCAAGAGAGCTAGGATTTCATCATTTGTGGAGTGGTTTTTGATCGCATTGCTGATGATCATAGCCATAGGGTAGCCTGGCAGGGAACCTAAAGCAATCACAGAAAACAACAAAGGACTTCATTAAATATAATGCATCACTACAAACAGCTCTCATATTCAAGAATGACTGAAATAAAATCCCAAATGACATTTGCAAAAAAGACTTCTACCAAACCCCACTTATCTGGGCCTTCTTCATTCTTGACTAAATTTCTGAACACACCATCCTCTTCCAAGGCTTGTTTATGGACATATCCGACTACTACACATTGCAATGTTATCAAAAACATTATAGCTATTGAAACACAAAATTGCAATCCTGTAAAAATCGCTGAAACGAAAACAAAAAGAAAAAATGTCTATCGCAGAAAATAAAGTAATTTCTGCATTGTTTAGAAATATTTGAGTGCAAACTTACACAATGCTTTTCAAGGTTCCCATTATTCATTTTCATTAAAATACTTGCTACCAATAAATACTAAAGCTATTTTGAAAATAGTTAACAGTTATAACAAAGATATAATAATAGAAATGGTTATTTCACAGAACCATACCTTATTTTCCCCCCCATATGGTATTGAGCTCCACATTTGTGAAATCACACATTCCTGGGAAATGTAAGGTACATAATCCTTGCAAATACCAAGGTTTTACTTTACATCTGTCAATTTCAATGAAAATGCAATAATCCTTGATTTGTAGATGGATTTGATTATTTTCTATCAACAGCAAATACTTACTGCTACTTTCATCCATATATTTGTAAATGAAAATGGGATTTGCTGGAATCAACGGAGAGAAAGTAGGAGGCACGATGTCCACAATTCGCTGGTGATAGGAAAGTCTACAAATAAAAAATTGAACACGATGCATTTGTCACAGCAACTCAAGGAGTGATTCTTTGAGATAAAAACGTCTTTTTAATTTTAAGGCTAAATCAAGGTGTAAACCGCACTAAAGATTGTCAGGAGTTGTGGGCAATGTTTGTGTAGAGTTCATACATATCTCCATTTATATACACTTATTTGGAAGTAATAACCTGTATTACAACAATAGGTGAGTACAATATACCAGTGTTTTCACCTTGGTGTATCTAAGTGAAATGTCTAATTAGCCAATCTGCTGGCAATGAATAGTTTGTATATGTTGTGGGAAATATTAGCGGAGCCTTCCTTTTCAGAAAGTGAACAGAGATCATAATACTTAAGTCATTACAGGATTCACAGGACTTAATGTTTGCATTCTGGGACAGTACTAGTTCACTTAATAGGGTTACAAGAACTCCTGTAGTTTTAAAAACAGTTAACAGTTTAAATAGTTAAGGCTCTGTAACGCTGCTTGCTTTGTTATGAGTCCACATTATATATTTGTTATTAGCACATCATCTGTGATAACCTTAAATACTATTTTAAAGATGGCTGGCTTTATGAAATGTGGTCACAATCTGAACACACTACTCTCAGAGCGGGAAGAAGAGGCCAATCTTCAAGAACACTTGGTTTACAGATTAAAAGTATCATCTGGCTACATGAGCTTGCCGAGCCACTCACTTCAAACCTCACCCATTAGATTTATAGCATCACAAGTGGGATATATACGAAACTGACAACTGGCACCCAGTGTTTTCTGTCTTTTAAGCCTCTTAAAGAAGCACCTATCCAACAGTTTGTAACCATCACAGCAGCAGGCTGTTAAGAACTGACCCCAGGAACCTGACACAAATTTATAACAAAGATGCACAGCTGTCACCAAACGAATGGGAGGAAAGGCCATTTTAACTGAGGGATTCTTTACAAAGAAAATCAAAGTTCCTAACAACCACAGAAAAACAAGCTACCTTAACATGGTTAAAATACTTAGCTCCAATCTGATCTTTCTGGATTATTTAAATATGGAGCTCTCACCTATGGCATCTTCCTTTCTTTAATCTCTCTATACTCTCTACTCTTCTCTTGTGCCTGCTTAATGGTGTCTTTCTGGACTGTTGACACCTAATCATTTACCCAGAACTTAATTAACTAAGGTAAATCTTACAATTACTTTGATCATGGAATCTGGGACACTTACATCTCAGCAAACATTCCATTGCTTTGAAGCTAGAAATGTTGACATTATTCAGGTGCTCCCCATTGCATATAGATTCACTTTATAACAATACAATAACGCGTTATCACATTGGTGCACATGCCTAAACATGGAAACGTGATGTATACCGGCCTTTGATTACACCTGTAGATATACTCGGGTATATTCAGTAAAACTTGAGTCATCTTATTTTTGGAAACACTCTTGTAAAAAGACACTAGGAAAGTTACCTCATACATTTTTCCAGAACTTCTTTCACAAATTTGGGTTTAGGTTTTTCGAGATCCTGGGTCAAGCAATCAGACCTACAGAAAATATGTATGAATTACAAAAAAAACATAGCACAAGTAGAATCATTATTATTGAAAAGCTTTTTATAAATACACATTAGCAGAGGTATTGAAAAAGGCTTTCCAAATGATTCTAAAAGACATTTAATTGCGACTCTATACGTAAGGTTTCTGTTAAATAGATGTATATATACGCAGATAACCGATAACTATTCTTACCAGTCATCCCAGCTCCACCTAAACTGAAAGTTGCTTAAATGATGGGAGAACCAGTTGATAAGTCTGGAAAAAATATAAAACACAAGTCATAAATGTGCTGACTTAAGAAAAACAAACCAACCACAAATATTACTTTCTAGTTCAGCTCAGTATGAAGAAATAGGTTTCATCACAAGTGATGTCAAACCAACAAAGGGTTTCCACCCAGGACATTATGACCTACTGGGAAATATAGTTGGAATTGTAAAAACAGGTTTGAATGGGGAGCTGTCTGTCTGCTAGCTGCAAATTAACCACTAGATAATTTTATCATGATGAACAGAAGACAAAAAAACACATACTTGATACAGCTCTTATTCTGCTGACGTATAGATTACCATTTTCATTTTGATTTACTACATTACCAGAAGGGGGAAAATTAGAACTGTAAACGTTTTTTAGCTATATTGACCAAAACACTTGTGAAACCAACTCTGAAGAAAGAAAACCATAAAAAGGTAAGTCTAGTCCTGGTCTTGGACTGCCCCAATCCAGTTTGTATGGGACACTCATTTCTAAACGGATGGAAAACCTGTGAATTGATGATCAATTAAGTTGTTCTGCTAATGTAAGAAAACGGATCTGAAGGGTACTCAGATTTTGGCCCCAGACATTCTCTAAATTAATTTAACATGTCTTTGACTTAGATTACAATGAAATTTCTCCATATTCTCAGAAATTGGTGATTTAATGCTGACTTATAAAAGTCCATACCGGTCTATACACGTTGTGTTCATTGTGTCCAGACGCATATACATCATCTCCGTGGCTTGAGCAAGCTGTGAGATTATAATCAAGGAACAACTGCAATGTTTTAAAAAGGGGTTGTTATGATTTTGAAAACTGTTCACAGAAGTAATTTTCACAAACTGAACACCTGCAATAACTTAAACTCTAATTGCTTTGGGGTGGGGAAAAACTACAGTACTGGAGCACAGTATGATGTGAAGGGCAAACAACCAGTAATATTATAGTACAGATTGTCCTACTGTCTTAAACACTGTTTTTTTATTTGTAGAGGCATTAGCCCCAGTCTCCTGTATTTTGGCATTCTTTGGGATGAAAAGTCTTCTGTACATGCCCATGTTTAACAATGAAAAGCAAGAGAAAAGGAGTTAAAATCCAGTCCTACATACAAAATGTAATAAGTTTTTAATAAGTTTAATAAAGAAAGCACATGCATTAGTTTTTATAACAATGAAAGCATGGATGCAATCATACTCAACATTCCATGACATGGTACTTGTAATTTTTTCCCTTGAATAGTGAAGAAAATACTCAAACAAAAGGAACATTAAAATATAGGACAACATCTTGCAAAAATATGAGCCTTTAAGGCCCAACAAGGATACAACTTGAGGCAGAGAACCGGGCTGAAGCTTGCACAGCTCAATCAGCAGTGTGGTGTACATGACGTCGATCTGAGGGGGTGAAGGGAGCTGGAAGAGCTCTCCGAAGATCACCTGTTGAAGACCCAAAGTACCAATATTTATTGTAACTTGCCCTGTTCTACAGTGTACAGCCTATATTTACTACGCTCAAGCCCCATCTATTTCCACCAAAATCAATGTTCAATAAGTTGTACAAAATTGGGATAATCTGTTCCTAGCAGTGTCCCTGTTTCTACTGCTTTAAATCAGGAATGAGCCACACTAGTACTTGATGCCTGCTGAGCTGCACCATGTTAGGAATATCTTTGATATTTATTGCTAAATAGAACTAAACTAATTATTTGAATCTAAGATTCTCTTTCACGTTTTAATCACTTGGCAGTTGAAGAGCACCTGCAAAACATTAAGGACTAGAGTTGTCCATATCTGGTTTACACATAAGAAAATGTGATAGTCAAAGCTATATTTTCTTTGTCAATAAAATGGGCAAACTTTGTTGCGACAGAGGATGCCAACAGGGAACTGAAAACAAAATTCAAAATCAGTCCATCAAACCTAAAACACGTGACAGATTTTAATTCTTTCTATTTGTGAACCCTGTTTATCTCTAGTAGCAACCAAAACCCGTTTGAAGATGTTTTGATGTGCTGCAGCTTGTAAAAAAAAGACTTTTCTGAGTACTGTAATATTGTTTTATTAACCAAGAAATGTTATAAAACACTGTACCCCTTAATACTGAACCTGGAACATACTGTATACTTCACAAGTTTTATAAAAGGTCCATGCATAGATCAGGTGGGCACAACTAACCCATGTCCCCTTTAAAATTAGGAGAAAGAGCACTGCTTGTTCTCTTTAACCCAGTGAGTCACAGACCTTATCTAGGACTCAGTGGTTTGATTCCTGGTGTCAGAACAGAATTCAAATGCATTTTTTTAGAAATTTGCATGTAGGAAAAAGTAACGTCTAGTCACGACAGGGATGTTTCGGATTACTTAAGTATATATTTTTAGGGTTTGCTATATTTAGGTATTGCTGCTCACACAACACCCTGAAAAACAGTTTTGACTGACATTTGCCTACCGATATCCAATTCTGACCAGAAATGTGGGGGGCTTTTCAGTTTAAATTGATAGATGTTGATTAATTGTGTGTGTGGAAGAGCTTTAAAATGAATGCTGCTTCAAATTCATGTAACCACAATTATAAAGGTGCATATTATAAGCATTTGAAAAAGGGTCATTTCAAAAAAATATTTCATCTGAGAGTCTAACATGCTGTTTTTTAAATTTATATTTTTGCATTTTTACATTTCGTGTTCAGTAAAATATAAACACTAAATAGAAACAAGCCTACACACATTAGAGGAAGGCTTGTAGTTGGGCTGTGGATGGATGAATGCAGTATGTGGGAGGGATATATATTAATCTGCCAGACCATAACAATGTAAAGTCAAAATGCCTACAGTGTATGCAAACAGTTGCAGTCCATTAAAATGTCAATGGATAAAGGCAGTCAAATTCAAAACATAAATTTAATGACTTTTTTTTCTCTTTCTAGTTTCCAAAGAAAATAACACTAAAAACGTAATTTTGACTTGGCAGCCTTCTACAATACCATTACATTCGGCAAGATAACACCTCAGCAGGAAATGCAGTAGACTAAGTTTGCTTGTTGCAGTCTGGCTGGTTAGCAAAAACAAAATGTTGTGTTTTAGGACAGTGCTCAAAGAAAAAACCCTGACCAAAAGTCTTCTTATAGAAATGCACTTGTCTAAAATTAGTGACTATAATCTATTAAAAACAGCAACCGAATTATATGTCAGATAATCCCTTTCGCTCCTGACATGTTAAACAACATAATTAAATTTTAAAATTGTAACAGTGATTATGAGCGTTGATTATTTTGAAAATATGAATATGAAGAAGTTTACGATAGGCATAGGCCAAATTTTGTGGCATGTTTCTAACAATATTAGATTGGAACTAATTTAATATTCTTGCATGCTGGGTGAGAGTAGATTAGATTTCTTATTGGTTATATGACATCCAGTTAACATCCAATACTCTGTTAGTTTGCAGCAACCTTGGTCTATCTTTCACATTTCAGAGGAGGAGTGAGGCCAGCTTTGGGATCTCAAGGATTCACACTTTTTGCTAATAATTTTTAAATGGTAGTGTAAGGGTCTGTGTTATTGTAACTAAATAGGTCTTTTAAGGTTATAACTTCTCACTGCCCACGAAAACGAAAATCATGACCTGACTAAGTTTATAACTATATATGACTGTGTTTTCTTAGGTATTTTAAGGTGTTAAAAGTTTTTACTTTTACATTAATTTGGAACCTCCCCACTCCCTATTGTAATGCAACTGTTGTAAGAACAGCCATTTTGTAACAATATAGACAGTAACTTGAGTAATATGCAATAATTTGCTTATTTTCACTGAATAAAATTAAAATTATAATATAAAATATTTTAAACAATATAGAACCAAACATGATGATACAATAAATAAGAAAAAATATATTTAGGATTTGTGTAATCAAACATTCCAAACATGTTAGAACTGGCTCTCTATAATTGTTTAAAGCAGCTAGTAGTGGAAAAACTAGTATTCACATACCTCCACAATGTGATAATTGAGGGGAATCTTATTCTTCCCTGGGTAGCTCAGAAGCTGGGCAGCACTAAATTAAAATGGAAACAAATACGTTATTCAAAGAAATGTTTTATTTATTCCTATTGTTTATCTGATGCATCACAGACACTTTTAGTAAATTAAAACTTGAAATAAACTATTAACGTTTACTATAAAACTACAATAAAGCAAGGGAACACTCCTACATCCATATTTGGACAGTCCAATTAATAGCAGTAATTTGATTACTGTAATGAAACAAGCTAATTTATACATGAACTCCAATGATGACTGAGCAGTGTTCCTCTTTTTTAAAACGGATTGTTGGAATGATTATGGAGATATTAAAAACACTGTTGATCTTTTACAGCAATGTGAAATTTAATATTGTGCAGAAGTTGCAAATTATATTGTAGCATTGCACCATCACATGGATAACATGTTGGAATTTCACAATGGATTTTTTTTTGTATGAAATGTATTTCACTGTAAAATTCAAATACTTTCAGCTTGCTACTGCTTTGAATATAAGAACTAAAGAAAAACTTGCAGAGAGGTGGAATGAAGATCTAAAGCAGGAGAAACGGAAGATGGACACATACAGATCACCCTATCCCTACAACTACAAATCTCAAGTCCTGAAAGTGCCAGACCTTTAAAGAGTTTACATTAGCGATTCCAATACATCCATGCCCATGAAAGCTGACTAATACTGCATTACTATAGCCACCACTATAGTGCAAAAGTGACAGTGTGGATTTAAAGCCATAATGAAGCTAGTATGCCATAAAACATCAATTTTTGTATACCGTACCAAGATCGGAAGTGAATCTAAGACCGTGCTTATGAAAGGGTTAGGATCTTCACAAAATGTGCATGTCACTCTGCTTTGCAAGGCAAAAGGTGATCACATAATAGTGAAAACCCATTAAGTATAAATAGTAGCTCACCAGGTCTTCCTCTCTCTCCAGTGTGACTTGATAATGCAGTGAAGATTTTCCTCAATCACGAAGCGCTCCGCTGAATGACTCCCAGGCATAACCGGGCCCTGGAAAAATCACAGGAGTGGTATGACACTCAGGCACATGCAAATGAACAGCAATATTCCTCAATTCCACAAGAAAAAGGAGTAGCATGTGCATAGGTAAACGTCACATTAAAGTGTTAATTTATTACTTGAGGGACATTATGTTAACACTATAAAAAGTAGTAGTCTTCTAAATGAAGCCTGACTACAATTTTCATCACTGCGTCACAACAAAGAATGCAACTACTCTGGAACCAGTGCTGACAAGGGGTACCATATCAAAAATAATTTGCTATACTCACAGCCTAAACAAACTGAACCTTTTTAACCCTTGAATAGACCCTAGGGGACTTGATTCAAGTATTTAAAAAGGCATGGATTGTTTCCTCTTGTTCAAGTTCCAATGCTTATTCTGAGGAAGTCTACTGGATTGACTTTGTGAAAGCACATTTAAAATGAGAACATGAAGCACTTCTAAATGCATGCTAAAGAAATGGAATCCTTTCCCATATGCCATACAGTGCTCTCATCACTTAACAGGGGAGACAGTAAACAATGCACACATCGCTAAACAGGTGAGAAACATATTATAGCCTAGGAGACACTACAAATAGGAAATCAGTATTCACACAAATATAACACAGTCCTTGTCTTTAGTCTAGTGCTCAAATGATCTAAATATATCTAAGTCATGTACGAAGGAGGTATTGGGCTAACTGCTTCTCCTCTCACTTCTTTCTTCTCAGTTCTTCAACAATTCTGTTTCTTTATGGTCTTTTTATCCTGTTTTTGAGTCTTCAGTTTCAAGGTCTCATCCTCAATGAATGCCGATTTAACTACATTTGGTTTAGTGCTCATTTAAACTTGCAACTATTTGGCCTCTTGGATCTTTGGCCCTAATGGCTGCCTCAAGAGACATAATAAGATAAGGGTACAGTTCTGCAAATTCTCCAGGAAAGGCTATTTTTTTTTATTGGGCACCAATAAATCCCACTGTTTTATCTGGTACTTTAAACAGTAGGACACCCCAGTGTCACACACAATCATCTGAATCTGACATGCCTCGGAAAACCTTGCAGGTTATGTAAGGGCTTACCCAGCTTGATTACTCACCTCAGGGGCATCTGTGTAGTCAAACATACGGAAGATGACCCTGGGCATGGGGTA